ACCAAGACATGATTCTCGTGGTGCTCTACGTCGATGATCTCATCCTGGCCAGCAGCAACAACGAACTCCTCAAGTCAACCAAGATGGCGCTGAGCAAACGCTTCGAAATGACGGATCTCGGTGAGCTCGATTACTTTCTCGGCATGGAGATCAAGAACGACCGTAAGACGGGAATGGTGACTGTACAACAAACCAAGTTCCTCAAGTCCGTGTTAACCAAGTTCGGAATGGATAACAGCAAGCCAGTGAAGACGCCTCAAGATCCCGGCCTGAAGCTAACCAAGAACATGTGTGAACAAGAATGCAAGCACGAAGACACCATGTGCAACGTGCCATATCGAAGTGCTGTCGGAGGCATCATGTATCTCATGGTTGTTGTAACTTGAGCGCGAGGCGAAGAGAAAACGAAGCGGAGAGACCGGAGAGAACGAAGCAGAGAACACTTGCTCACTTGAGGGAGGATTCGAAAGTGATTGATTTATAGGTCTTAACTTCTGCCTACCCTAGACTGCATCCAATCACATGGTGCATCTAATCAACCTGATTTACACGCGTCCAATCATCCTACGCGTCTAATCATCTCTGAGGTAATTACCGATGTAAAAACTATCTCGTAAGAACTACGCGCTAGGTTCGGATTGTACCGGTAACCCTCAATACGCCCCCTCAATCCGAACACGCACGGATGCCAAGCGCCGCCGTCAAGTCCTTGTGACGCGGTCCGTGAAGTCCCTTCGTCATGATGTCCGCCAACATCAACGTCGTCTCGCAGTATTCAAGCTTCACTTCGCCGCGCTTGACTTCATCACGGATGTGATGGTACTTGATGTCGATGTGTTTAGCGCGGCCGTGGTTGACCGGATTCTTCGTCATCTTGATGCACGACTGGTTGTCTTCACGGATGACGAGCTCGGGTCCTTCTTCGTTTGCAGCCGCCATGATCTCGCACAGCAAGCGATTGATCCACTTGCCTTCTTGGATCGCCAGGCTGAGCGCGATGTACTCCGCTTCGCTTGTAGACAGCGACACACTTGGCTGTTTCTTGCTGCCCCAACTCACCGGAGCACCCAATAGCATGAAGACGTAGCCGGACGTCGATTTGCGATCAGCAAGGTCACCGGCCCAGTCTGCATCTGAATAGCCACGAAAGTCGATCTTCGCACTTGGCTTGTAGCAGATTCCATGCATCTTGGTGCCTTGTAGGTAGCGGAAGATGCGCTTGACTGCAACCCAGTGTTCTTCTTGGGGTTTCTCCATGAACCGTGACACAAAGCTTACAGCATAGGCGATGTCCGGTCGCGTTGCAGTCGTCAGATGCATCAAAGCACCCACTGCTTCACGGAATGGGACATCCACCTTGCTTGCAGAGTTGCTTGGAACCAGTCGAGAGCTGACGTCCACCGGACTTGTCACAGCCTTGCACTCATCCATTCCAAAGCGCTTGAGGACATCGTCGACATAACGGCGCTGACACATAGTCACGCTGCCATCTTCACCGTCCAATAACTCGATCCCAAGAACAAAGGCACACTTGCCGCTGTCCGTCATCTCGAAGCGTGTCTTGAGGTCGTTCTTGGTGCGCGCAATCATCTCGAGCGAGCTTCCAGTCACCAAGACATCGTCCACGTAGACCAGCACAAAAACACAATGGCCTTCCGAAGTCATGATGTAGAGACATGGATCGAATCCCGACGCTTGAAAACCAATCGAGCGTATGAACTCGTCGAAGGTCTCGTTCCAAACACGCGAGGCTTGCTTGAGACCATAGATCGCCTTGATCAGCTCGAGACAGTCGAAATCACCTTCCATCTTGACGCCTTCCGGAACAGCGCAGAACACCTTCTCCTTCATCACTCCATACAGGAACGCAGTCACCACATCGAGCTGGTCGAGGGGCCATCCAAAGTGCTTGGTAATGGCGATGACCATTCGCAGCGTCACATACTTGACCACGGGCGAGAACGTCTCCGTGTAGTCGATGCCATACTTTTGGCGAAAACCCTTGGCCACAAGTCGTGCCTTGTATTTCTCGATCGACCCATCCGCCTTGCGCTTGATCTTGAAGACCCACTTTGTGCCAATGGCGCTTTGTCCGTTGGGTAACTTGGCCGCACGAAAGACACCGCGAAGCTTCATCGAATCGAGCTCCGCATCAATTGCCTTGCGCCAGTGTACTTGGTCCGGGCCAGACACTGCTTCTTCAAATGTCGACGGCTCCGAAAAATCGACCGCTGCTTCGACGGCGTTTGCACTCGCATGCCAAAACGCGGAGGAAGTCGGTGTGTCATGTTGTTCCTCCGACTTCCTTTCTTCATCTTCGTTGGCTCGACGTGAAGAGAGGTCATCCGGCGCACTTGACTCTTCCAATCCGGGTCGTTGGCGCACTGCTCGGGGCATGCTTGCGTCGTCATTGTCGTGACTGGGTTGGGCCTTGCGCTTTCCTGTTTGTTTGAAGTGTCTCGGACGCGGTTCTTCATCATCAAGATCGATCGATTCGAAGTCCAGGCCATCAACATCGTCATCGGAAATCAGCATCGACATTCCAAAGGCCGACTCATCGAAGTTGACATCGCGACTTATCATCACCTGCCCCGCTTCGATGTCGTAAACTCGATACGCCTTGGACACTTCTTCGTAGCCCAAAAACAATCCAGCCCGGGCCTTGGGATCCCACTTGAGTCGTTTCTCCTTCGGGGTCAAGATGTATGCTTGGCACCCAAAAACGCGCATGTGCTTGACACTTGGCTTAGAACTGTAGACAATCTCGAACGGTGTCTTGTGTGGAATCTTGGGTGACGGCAAACGGTTCTTCACATAGACGGCCGTCATTGCCGCTTCAGCCCAGAAGCACTTGTCCAACTTGGCATGATGGAGCATGCTACGACCGATGGTGACGATAGTTCGAATCGCGCGTTCAGCAGTTCCATTGGCTTGATGTGCGTATGGCACCGTGGTTTGTTGCTCGATGCCTTCGACTTCGTAGAAATCTTGAAGCGAGTTCGTCGCAAACTCGCGGGCTCCATCGTGTCGCACAAATTTGACCTTCTTGTTGAACTGCGTCTGTATCATCGTGATGTACTTCTTGATGCACTCTTCGCTCTCTGACTTGTAATGCAGACAAAAACCCTTCATGCATCCGCTGGCTTCATCCACGATCAGCAGCAGATACTTGCTGCCACCCAGAGATTTTTCTTCCATGGGTCCGCAGATGTCGAAGTGGAGCATCTCGAAGGTGTTGTAGGTGCGCTTGTCACGGTTGCTCGGGAATGGTTTTTGGACCATCTTCCCTTCTTGGCATCCTCGACACACACTTGATCCATTCGGCTTGGAAGGGATGTGAGCGTCCTTGATCATGTGGCTTGTCACCATCCTGCGAAGCACGTCGACTGGAGCATGGCCCATTCGCGCATGTAGATCAACAGCGTTGCTGAGTGATGTCGCATTGGCCGATCGCTGCGTCGTGCGAAGCCAGTAGAGTCCGTCTACAAGATCCGCAGCTGCCACCACTTGATTGGAATCCTTGCGAGCGACGTACATCGTATCCCCGTCAAACACCACTTGGAAGTTGCCGTGCTTGTTAATCTGCGGCACCGAGAGCAGATTTTTGCTCATGCTGGGCACATAGAGCGCGTTCTTGATCTCGATCTCGCGCTCTTCCCCGTTTGGCAGAATCACCTTTTCCACGATGGTCCCCACACCTTTGATGGCCGCCTTGTTGCCATCAGCCACCAGGATCTCGCCATCATTGCCTTCGACCAAGCTTGCAAACTTGAACTTGTCGTGGCAGATGTGATGTGTTGCCCCGCTGTCAACGGCCCACATTCCTGGTCCATTCTTGTTCGTTGAAACTCCGCATTCGAACGAAACTGCAAACGCCACTCGATCGTAGCTGTTGCCTTCATCATAATGTCGCCACTGGACATTGTTTGCCCCGCGTCCACGACCATTGCCGCCGCGTTGGGCTCCTCGACTTTCATCCTTTTGCTTCGTCCAGCAACGCTCTGCCGTGTGCCCCACCTTGCCGCAGTATGTGCATTGGTAGGGCTTGCGCTCGGTACTGAATGCCTTTGTCGCATCTTCAGTCTTCACCGTTGTCGTTGCCGTTGTCATCTTCTCGCCTTGTCGCTTGATGTGCTCGTTAGTCAGCACCTTGACCACATCTTGCGTGCGCAGCTCTGCATTGCTCATCTCCAAGTTCAGAACCACGTTCTCGAAACTCTTCGGGAGACTGAGCAGCAAGCAGATCGCAATGTCTTCGTCTTCCATCTTGGCACCGATGCTGCTGAGCTTGGCGCCGATGTTCAAGACTTCGTTGCAATGGTGCAAGACGTTGGCACCTTCCGCCATCTTGATGCTGAACAGCTGGCGCTTGAGGTAGATGCGTCCCGCCTTCTGCGACCCACCATAGAGCATCTTCAACCGCGACCACGCTGTCCATGCTTCTTCACAGTTGTCGACCACATGGTGGTAGTCGGCGTCCATGTGGAGCAACATCAACCCGAACGCGATGTTGCTCGCCTTGACGTACTCGTCGGAAGCTCGCGTGTCGGTGAAGGTTGGAGACGTTTCGCGGTTCACGACGTACCAGACTGACTTCGTCAGAAACACACCGCGCATGTAGCGACACCAGGTTGAGTAGTTGTCCCCATCGAACTTATCGATGGAGACACTGGCCGAGGTGTTGTTGGACGACATGGCGCTTGGGCTCATAACCTGTTGTAACTTGAGCGCGAGGCGAAGAGAAAACGAAGCGGAGAGACCGGAGAGAACGAAGCAGAGAACACTTGCTCACTTGAGGGAGGATTCGAAAGTGATTGATTTATAGGTCTTAACTTCTGCCTACCCTAGACTGCATCCAATCACATGGTGCATCTAATCAACCTGATTTACACGCGTCCAATCATCCTACGCGTCTAATCATCTCTGAGGTAATTACCGATGTAAAAACTATCTCGTAAGAACTACGCGCTAGGTTCGGATTGTACCGGTAACCCTCAATAATGGTCGCCACACGTCCGGATCTAGCTGCTGCAGTGGGATCATTATCCCAGTTCTCGTCCGACCCATGCCCGACTCACTGGCAAGCTTTGAAGCGTGTGCTGAGATACCTGCAAGCAACGCCCAATCATGGTCTTGAGTTTACACGTGAAGAAGGAAGCCGTATCTGCGGGTACACCGACGCAGACTGGGCCGGCGACATTGAGTCAAGACGAAGTACAAGCGGCTATGTGTTCATGATGAGCGGAGGATGCATCAGCTGGAAAAGCCAGAAACAACGGACGGTCGCGCTATCTTCAACAGAAGCAGAATACATGGCGCTTTCCGAAGCAACCAAAGAAGCAGTATGGCTCAAAGTGCTTTTGGGGGAACTTGGTGAGATGACAAGCGACGAAGCGATCAAGATGCATGAAGACAACCAAGGATCAATCGCTCTCGCCAAGAACCCGGAGTTCCATAAGAGAACAAAACACATCGACATACGCTACCATTTTGTGCGTGAGAAGGTGGAATCAGGTGAAGTCGTTTTGGAGTATTGCCCGACTCAAGATATGCTGGCAGACATGATGACCAAGCCGATCGCCGCTGTACAATTTGAAAACATTCGCGATCGACTTGGGATCCATGGTGCCGCAGCTAACGAGTCGAGAGGGAGTGTTGAAAAGACAGCGGCTGTGAAGAAGACACCTCGTCAAGCTGCGTCAAGTGTTGAAGCAAGTGGAAGACCAAGCTTCGCTATACCGGTGGGTACCGGTATGTACCAGTAAGGGCGAAGTCAGGAAATGACGTCACTGGATGACGTCATTGCATGACGTCAGTGGGTGACGTCAGTGGGTGACGTCACTGGATGAGTCACTGCGAATAATAGGCTTAGAGGTAGTATTCAAAGTTGCGAACTAAGTACCTATTATAAATATATATTCACTTTTGCGTTTTGCACTCGGACCAAGAAGTCTAAAGTTCATCACATCACATTGTCGCCTTCCGCCATCTCCATGCTGAACAGCTGGCGCTTCAAGTAGATGCGTCCAGCCTTCTGCGACCCGCCGTACAGCGTCTTCAAACGCGCCCACGCGACCCACGCCTCTTCACAGTCATCAACCACGTGATGATAATCCGTGCTTATGTGCAGAAGCATCTGTTGAAAAGACAGCGGCTGTGAAGAAGACACCTCGTCAAGCTGCGTCAAGTGTTGAAGCAAGTGGAAGACCAAGCTTCGCTATACCGGTGGGTACCGGTATGTACCAGTAAGGGCGAAGTCAGGAAATGACGTCACTGGATGACGTCATTGCATGACGTCAGTGGGTGACGTCAGTGGGTGACGTCACTGGATGACGTCACTGCGAATAATAGGCTTAGAGGTAGTATTCAAAGTTGCGAACTAAGTACCTATTATAAATATATATTCACTTTTGCGTTTTGCACTCGGACCAAGAAGTCTAAAGTTCATCACATCACATTGTCGCCTTCCGCCATCTCCATGCTGAACAGCTGGCGCTTCAAGTAGATGCGTCCAGCCTTCTGCGACCCGCCGTACAGCGTCTTCAAACGCGCCCACGCGACCCACGCCTCTTCACAGTCATCAACCACGTGATGATAATCCGTGCTTATGTGCAGAAGCATCTGTTGAAAAGACAGCGGCTGTGAAGAAGACACCTCGTCAAGCTGCGTCAAGTGTTGAAGCAAGTGGAAGACCAAGCTTCGCTATACCGGTGGGTACCGGTATGTACCAGTAAGGGCGAAGTCAGGAAATGACGTCATTGGATGACGTCAGTGGGTGACTTCAGTGGGTGACGTCACTGGATGACGTCACTGCGAATAATAGGCTTAGAGGTAGTATTCAAAGTTGCGAACTAAGTACCTATTACAAATATATATTCACTTTGCGTTTTGCACTCGGACCAAGAAGTCTAAAGTTCATCAGGTTATGAGCCCAAGTTCGTCAGACTCTGAAACCGCCAACAATTCAAGCTTAGCTGCCATGGACGCCTCCTCCCTCCGCATCTCCAAGTTCGATGGAACTAACTTCCACGCCTGGAAGTTCAAGATGCAGATGGTGCTGGAGGAACGGGACCTATGGGAGGTCGTCAGCGGTGAGATCAAGGCGGAACAGTGCGAGACTCAGTTGGACCAAGCGACGTACAAGAGGAAGTCAAGAAAGGCGATGGCAGTGATCTGTCTAGCCATGGAAGATTCCCAGCTACCGTTGGTCCGGTCGGCAAGTGGTGCATGCGACGCATGGTCAAGGTTGGAAGACCACTTCGAGAAGAAGAGTCTTGCCAACAAGCTGTTCTTGCGCCGTCGCTTCTTCACGACAATGATGGAAGAAGGCGACGATGTGCTCGAACACATCAACAAGCTCAAGACGCTGGCGGAACAGCTAGAAGCGGTGGGGGCTCCAGTCTGCGAGGACGATCTGGTGATCACACTTCTCGGCAGCCTGAGTGACTCGTATCAATTCTTGATCACAGCTTTGGAGTCGCGCTCAGACACTCTTAGCTGGGAGCTCGTGATGTCTCGACTGCTTCATGAAGAAATGAAGCGGAAGGAGCAAGGAAGTAAAGGTGATGAAGCTTCGCAAGGTCAAGCGTTCATCACAAGGGACAATCAGCGCAAAGGGCGACCAGTGAAGAAGTCCTGGCCGTGCCACAATTGCGGAAAGATTGGTCACTGGATGGCGGAGTGCCCCTCGCGCATCCAAGAAAACACGGAGAGACACCGGCCACAGCGTGCTCAAGACAGCGGCGACCGCTATCGATCACAACGTGCAAACGTCGCTCAAGAAGAAGACTCGGGCGACTACCTCTTTCGATCGGTGAAACGACATCTGCGAAATCGAGCGACATCTGGCTGGTCGACTCCGGGGCGACGCAGCACATGACGTGCTCCAAGAAGTTCATGCGGAACTACAAGGGGTTTGACGCTGTGGATGTCCATCTCGCGGATGATGGAATCGTCCAAGCAATCGGCAGTGGGGACATTGTCATGTCGATGAAGACACCCCAAGGGATGAAGAAAGGTGTGCTCACAAACGTGTGGCACATCCCAAAGTTATCCAGAAACCTGTTCTCGGTCGGCCGCTTCACCAAGGATGTCGGCCCAGTGACGTTCACGAAGGATGGGTGCTATGGAGAAGCGAAAGGGACCAAGTGGAAAATTGGTGCCCGTGAAGGTAAAGGACTGTTCAAGCTGCAAATGACTCCAGTGGCGCCGGAACAAGCAAATGCAGCCAAGTCGTCGGGATGTCAAGGGGGCACCAAGTCGTACCTCTGGCACCTTCGGCTTGGCCACATAGGTCACGATGGACTCAATTGCATCGTGACGAAGGACATTGGAATTGGCATCGACATATCTTCGGTGAAGAAGTGGGACGTGTGTGAAGGTTGTGCTCTGGGAAAACAGACTCGAGTGCGCTTCCAATCAAACACTACAGCTCGCACCTCCAAACTCCTCGAAGTGATTCACAGCGACGTATGCGGACCGATGTCGATGGCAACTTCCAGTGGAAAACGGTACTTCGTGACATTCATCGATGACAAGTCAAGATACTGTGTCGTCTATCTGCTCAAGAGCAAATCTGAAGTTGCGGCGAAGTTCATGGAATACGCTGCGATGGCCGAAACGCAAACCGGAAAGCGCGTGAAGTACCTTCAAAGCGACAATGGGGGTGAATACAAGTCCGACAAGCTGGCACGATTCTGCGCGGAACGGGGAATACAACAAAGGTTCACACCCCCATATACTCCTCAGCTAAACGGAGTAGCTGAGAGAATGAATCGCACGCTGGTCGAGTGTGCGCGTTGCATGATGGAACACGCTGGACTGGGAAAGAGCTACTGGGGTGAAGCAGTGATGACGGCGATGTTTCTTCGAAACCGCTGTCCAACACGTGCCATTCACCAAGACAAGTCTCCATATCAAGTGTGGACGATGAAGAAACCGATTCTGGCCAACCTTAAAGTGTTTGGATGCCACGCGTATGTTCAAGTGCCTCAAGACAAACGCGCGAAGTTCGACTCCAAGTCATCACTCTGTCGTTTCCTGGGATACGCCGAACACCAGAAGTCATATCGATTTGAGGAAGTGTCAACAGGAGCGATCAAGATCAGTCGCGATGCCACATTCATGGAAGACAAGTTTGATGAAGGTCCGCGCAACTACAACGATGAGTCAAGTGTCGTTGAGTTTGATGATCATGATGAGGACGAAGAAAAAGAAGAAGGTAAAACTGACGACGACATGGACTCGAGCGACGATGACAACGAAGACACCAGGTCTTCGAAGAGCAACATCAAGAGACACACGCGCACTCAATCACTTGAGAAAGCTACCGTCATTCCAAGTCCCAAGCGAAGAACGTACAGAGGTCCGTCGCTTGAGCATGTGTCAGCGGCTGCAATGGATTTTGAAGCAGCCTACATCGTTGATTCAGTGGGGGAAACGCCGACTACATTCAAGTCGGCGATGGAATCAAGCGACTCCGGCAAGTGGAAAGAAGCATGTGACTCGGAGTTCGATTCGCTTCAGAGAAACGACACGTGGGAAATCGTGCCTCTTCCGAAAGGTCGCAAGGCCATCGGGTGCCGATGGGTTTTTCGTGTAAAGGAGAATCAAGATGGCGAAGTTGAACGTTTCAAGGCAAGACTTGTGGCCAAAGGATTCTCACAGAAATTCGGAGTTGACTATGAAGAAACTTTCGCACCGGTGGCCAAGTTCACATCGATTCGTGTGGTGCTCAGTATGGCGGCCAAGTACGGCCTAATGCTACATCAGATGGACGTCAAGACAGCGTTTCTTAACGGCTCCCTCAACGAAGACATCTACATGGACCAGCCGGACGGATACCTGGATGCAACACAGCCGGACTATGTGTGCAAGCTAAAGAGATCACTCTACGGCTTGAAGCAATCGCCTCGCATGTGGAACCAAACAATCGATGGGTTCATGATCAAGATGGGATTCAAGAAGTGCGAATCGGACCACTGCATCTACATCAAGCGAGACGACCAAGACATGATTCTCGTGGTGCTCTACGTCGATGATCTCATCCTGGCCAGCAGCAACAACGAACTCCTCAAGTCGACCAAGATGGCGCTGAGCAAACGCTTCGAAATGACGGATCTCGGTGAGCTCGATTACTTTCTCGGCATGGAGATCAAGAACGACCGTAAGACGGGAATGGTGACTGTGCAACAAACCAAGTTTCTCAAGTCCGTGTTGACCAAGTTCGGAATGGATAACAGCAAGCCAGTGAAGACGCCTCAAGATCCCGGCCTGAAGCTAACCAAGAACATGTGTGAACAAGAATGCAAGCACGAAGACACCATATGCAACGTGCCATATCGAAGTGCTGTCGGAGGCATCATGTATCTCATGGTCGCCACACGTCCGGATCTAGCTGCTGCAGTAGGATCATTATCCCAGTTCTCGTCCGACCCATGCCCGACTCACTGGCAAGCTTTGAAGAGTGTGCTGAGATACCTGCAAGCAACGCCCAATCATGGTCTTGAGTTTACACGTGAAGAAGGAAGCCGTATCTGCGGGTACACCGACGCAGACTGGGCCGGCGACATTGAGTCAAGACGAAGTACAAGCGGCTATGTGTTCATGATGAACGGAGGATGCATCAGCTGGAAAAGCCAGAAACAACGGACGGTCGCGCTATCTTCAACAGAAGCAGAATACATGGCGCTTTCCGAAGCAACCAAAGAAGCAGTATGGCTCAAGGTGCTTTTGGGGGAACTTGGTGAGATGACAAGCGACGAAGCGATCAAGGTGTATGAAGACAACCAAGGATCAATCGCTCTCGCCAAGAACCCGGAGTTCCATAAGAGAACAAAACACATCGACATACGCTACCATTTTGTGCGTGAGAAGGTGGAATCAGGTGAAGTCGTTTTGGAGAATTGCCCGACTCAAGATATGCTGGCAGACATGATGACCAAGCCGATCGCCGCTGTACAATTTGAAAACATTCGCGATCGACTTGGGATCCAAGGTACCGCAGCTAACGAGTCGAGAGGGAGTGTTGAAAAGACAGCGGCTGTGAAGAAGACACCTCGTCAAGCTGCGTCAAGTGTTGAAGCAAGTGGAAGACCAAGCTTCGCTATACCGGTGGGTACCGGTATGTACCAGTAAGGGCGAAGTCAGGAAATGACGTCATTGGATGACGTCAGTGGGTGACTTCAGTGGGTGACGTCACTGGATGACGTCACTGCGAATAATAGGCTTAGAGGTAGTATTCAAAGTTGCGAACTAAGTACCTATTACAAATATATATTCACTTTGCGTTTTGCACTCGGACCAAGAAGTCTAAAGTTCATCAGCATCAAGCCGAACGCAATGTTGTTCGTCTTGACGTAGTCGTCACTGGCGCGAGGATCGGCGAAGGTGGGGGTGGTATCCCGGTTCACCACGTGCCACGCCGACTTGGTCAGGAACACGCCACGCATGTAGCGGCTCCACGTCGCGTAGTTGTCGCCGTCGAACTTGTCAATGGAGATCTTGGTGGTGGCATCATGAGCAGAGGACATCGTGCTTGGGCTCATAACCTGTTGAAGGGTGAAAAGCTTGACGACCGAAACTGGGAGTGATGCTGGGAGTCCACTCGGAAGACCGGAGAAGACACTTGGGGGGTAGATAGAAGATTGGAAAGTGATTGATTATCGGGGCTTACTACTTACTACATGATTTATATGTGGTGCACATATAAATCATGTGAAGCGTCTCATCATCCTACGCGTCTAATCAACTATGGTAATTACCGTAAGAACTACGTCGTAAATACTAAGCTGAACAGGCGGTTCGGATTGGACCGGTCACGGTTACCAATACTGGTAGAAACCGATGACCGTCAACAAGGACCTCGTTGCAGTGATGCATGACGTTCGCGCCTTCAGCCATCTTGATACTGAAAAGTTGTCGCTTGAGGTGTAAGCGTCCTGCCTTCTGCGACCCACCGTACAGCGTCTTCAGACTTGTCCACGCAACCCAGGCTTCCTCGCAGTTGTCCAGCACATGATGTTAGTCCGCGTTCATGTGCAGCAGCATCATACCAAACGCGACGTTGCTTGCCTTGACGTAGTCATCGGACGCTCGCGGGTCGGTGAAAGTCGGAGTCACTTCACGGTTGACGACGTGCCAGACGGACTTTGTCAAAAACACACCGCGCATGTACCGGCTCCACGTTGCGTAATTGTCTCCGTTGAACTTGTCAATGGAGGCGTTGCTGGTGGACGACATGGCGCTTGGGCTCATAACCTGTTGCATTGTAGATCGGAGCGAGGAAAGCGGAGCGAACGGAGCGGAGAGACCGAAGAGAGTAGAGCAGAAAACACTTGCCCAATAGTTGGAAGATTCGAAAGTGATTGATTATCGGGGCTTACTACTTACTACATGATTTATATGTGGTGTACATATAAATCATGTGAAGCGTCTCATCATCCTACGCGTCTAATCAACTATGGTAATTACCGTAAGAACTACGTCGTAAATATGTTGAAGGGTGAAAAGCTTGACGACCGAAACTGGGAGTGATGCTGGGAGTCCACTCGGAAGACCGGAGAAGACACTTGGGGGGTAGATAGAAGATTGGAAAGTGATTGATTATCGGGGCTTACTACTTACTACATGATTTATATGTGGTGCACATATAAATTATGTGAAGCGTCTCATCATCCTACGCGTCTAATCAACTATGGTAATTACCGTAAGAACTACGTCGTAAATACTAAGCTGAACAGGCGGTTCGGATTGGACCGGTCACGGTTACCAATACTGGTAGAAACCGATGACCGTCAACACGCCCCCTCAATCCGAACTCGCACGAATGCCGAGAGCCGTCGTCAAGTCCTTGTGACGAGGTCCCGAAAGTCCCTTGGTCATGATGTCCGCCATCATCACGGAAGTCTCGCAATACTCGAGCTGCACTTCACCGCGCTTGACCTCATCACGGATGTGATGGTACTTGATGTCGATGTGCTTGGCGCGGCCATGATTCACCGGATTCTTTGTCATCTTGATGCACGACTGGTTGTCTTCACGGATGACGAGGTCCGGTCCTGGTTCGTTTGCGGCCGCTAAAATCTCGCATAGCAGGCGATGCACCCACTTGCCTTCCTGGATGGCCAGACTCAGTGCTATGTATTCCGCTTCACTCGTCGACAGCGACACACTTGACTGCTTCTTGCTTCCCCAACTCACAGGAGCACCCATCAGCATGAAAGTATAACCCGAAGTCGACTTGAGATCAGCGTGGTCGCCGGCCCAGTCCGCGTCCGAGTAGCCACGAAAGTCGATCTTGTCGCTTGGCTGGAAGCGGAGTCCGTGCGACTTGGTCCCTTGCAAGTAACGAAAGATGCGCTTCACCGCCGTCCAATGTTCTTGCTGCGGATTCTCCATGAAGCGCGAGACGTACCCCACAGCATACGCAATGTCCGGGCGCGTCGCAGTCGTCAAGTGCATCAAAGCTCCCACAGCTTCACGAAACGGAACGTCGATCTTGGCCGCTTCGGTGCTTGCGACAAGCCGAGTGCTCAAGTCGACCGGACTTGCTGTGGCCTTGCACTCATCCATGCCGAAGCGCTTGAGGATGTCGTTGACATACCGTCGCTGGCACATCGTCACGCTGCCATCCGATTCGTCCACCAGTTCGATGCCCAGTACAAAAGTACACTTGCCACTGTCGGTCATCTCGAAACGCGTCTTGAGGTCGGCCTTCGTCTGCGCAATCAACTCGAGCGAGCTGCCGGTGACCAACACGTCATCCACGTAGACCAGCACGAGCACACAGTGACCGTCTACAACCTTGATGTAGAGACATGGGTCGAACGCCGACGCTTCGAAACCGATAGAGCATACGAACTCGTCGAAAGTCTCGTTCCACACACGTGAAGCTTGCTTGAGACCGTAGATCGCCTTCACCAACTCGAGACAGTCGAAGTCGCCATCCATCTCGACGCCTTCTGGTATCACGCAGTACACCTTCTCCTTCATCACTCCGTAGAGAAAGGCTGTCACCACATCGAGTTGGTCCAGTGGCCAGTCGAAATACTTGGTGATCGCGATCACCATACGCAGTGTCACGTACTTGACCACGGGCGAGAACGTCTCTGTGTAGTCGATGCCGTACTTCTGCTTGAAGCCCTTGGCAACGAGACGCGCCTTGTATTTCTCGACCGATCCATCCGCTTTGCGCTTGATCTTGAACACCCACTTGGTGCCGATCGCGCCTTGGCCTCTTGGTAGTTTTGCCGCACGGAAAACTCCACGAAGATGCATCGACTTGAGTTCCGCCTTCACAGCATTTCGCCAGTGAGCTTGATCAGGACCATTGATCGCGTCTTGAAAAGTCACAGGTTCTGCTAGGTCCGTTGCTTCCACTGCGTTTGCACTTGCACGCCAAAATGTTGGAGGCGTCGAGTCGTCATCTTGATCGTAGACGCTTGTATTGAGGGTTACCGGTACAATCCGAACCTAGCGCGTAGTTCTTACGAGATAGTTTTTACATCGGTAATTACCTCAGAGATGATTAGACGCGTAGGATGATTGGACGCGTGTAAATCAGGTTGATTAGATGCACCATGTGATTGGATGCAGTCTAGGGTAGGCAGAAGTTAAGACCTATAAATCAATCACTTTCGAATCCTCCCCTCAAGTGAGCAAGTGTTCTCTGCTTCGTTCTCTCCGGTCTCTCCGCTTCGTTTTCTCTTCGCCTCGCGCTCAAGTTACAACAGGTTATGAGCCCAAGCGCCATGTCGTCCAACAACACCTCGGCCAGTGTCTCCATCGATAAGTTCGATGGGGACAACTACTCAACCTGGTGTCGCTACATGCGCGGCGTGTTTCTGACGAAGTCAGTCTGGTACGTCGTGAACCGCGAAACGTCTCCAACCTTCACCGACACGCGAGCTTCCGACGAGTACGTCAAGGCGAGCAACATCGCGTTCGGGTTGATGTTGCTCCACATGGACGCCGACCACCACCATGTGGTCGACAACTGTGAAGAAGCATGGACAGCGTGGTCGCGGTTGAAGATGCTCTATGGTGGGTCGCAGAAGGCGGGACGCATCTACCTCAAGCGCCAGCTGTTCAGCATCAAGATGGCGGAAGGTGCCAACGTCTTGCACCATTGCAACGAAGTCTTGAACATCGGCGCCAAGCTCAGCAGCATCGGTGCCAAGATGGAAGACGAAGACATTGCGATCTGCTTGCTGCTCAGTCTCCCGAAGAGTTTCGAGAACGTGGTTCTGAACTTGGAGATGAGCAATGCAGAGCTGCGCACGCAAGATGTGGTCAAGGTGCTGACTAACGAGCACATCAAGCGACAAGGCGAGAAGATGACAACGGCAACGACAACGGTGAAGACTGAAGATGCGACAAAGGCATTCAGTACCGAGCGCAAGCCCTACCCATGCACATACTGCGGCAAGGTGGGGCACACGGCAGAGCGTTGCTGGACGAAGCAAAAGGATGAAAGTCGAGGAGCCCAACGCGGCGGCAATGGTCGTGGACGCGGGGCAAACAATGTCTAGTGGCGACATTATGATGAAGGCAATAGCTACGATCGAGTGGCGTTTGCAGTTTCGTTCGAATGCGGAGTTTCGACGAACAAGAATGGACCAGGAATGTGGGCCGTTGACAGCGGGGCAACACATCACATCTGCCACGACAAGTTCAAGTTTGCAAGCTTGGTCGAAGGCAATGATGGCGAGATCCTGGTGGCTGATGGCAACAAGGCGGCCATCAAAGGTGTGGGGACCATCGTGGAAAAGGCGATTCTGCCAAACGGGGAAGAGCGCGAGATCGAGATCAAGAACGCGCTCTATGTGCCCAGCATGAGCAAAAATCTGCTCTCGGTGCCGCAGATTAACAAGCACGGCAACTTCCAAGTGGTGTTTGACGGGGATACGATGTACGTCGCTCGCAAGGATTCCAATCAAGTGGTGGCAGCTGCGGATCTTGTAGATGGACTCTACTGGCTTCGCACGACGCAGCGATCGGCCAATGCGACATCACTCAGCAACGCTGTTGATCTACATGCGCGAATGGGCCATGCTCCAGTCGACGTGCTTCGCAGGATGGTGACAAGCCACATGATCAAGGACGCTCACATCCCTTCCAAGCCGAATGGATCAAGTGTGTGTCGAGGATGCCAAGAAGGGAAGATGGTCCAAAAACCATTCCCGAGCAACCGTGACAAGCGCACCTACAACACCTTCGAGATGCTCCACTTCGACATCTGCGGACCCATGGAAGAAAAATCTCTGGGTGGCAGCAAGTATCTGCTGCTGATCGTGGATGAAGCCAGCGGATGCATGAAGGGTTTTTGTCTGCATTCCAAGTCGGAGAGCGAAGAGTGCATCAAGAAGTACATCACGATGATACAGACGCAGTTCAACAAGAAGGTCAACTTTGTGCGACACGATGGAGCCCGCGAGTTTGCGACGAACTCGCTTCAAGATTTCTACGAAGTCGAAGGCATCGAGCAACAAACCACGGTGCCATACGCACATCAAGCCAATGGAACTGCTGAACGCGCGATTCGAACTATCGTCACCATCGGTCGTAGCATGCTCCATCATGCCAAGTTGGACAAGTGCTTCTGGGCTGAAGCGGCAATGACGGCCGTCTATGTGAAGAACCGTTTGCCGTCACCCAAGATTCCACACAAGACACCGTTCGAGATTGTCTACAGTTCTAAGCCAAGTGTCAAGCACATGCGCGTTTTTGGGTGCCAAGCATACATCTTGACCCCGAAGGAGAAACGACTCAAGTGGGATCCCAAGGCCCGGGCTGGATTGTTTTTGGGCTACGAAGAAGTGTCCAAGGCGTATCGAGTTTACGACATCGAAGCGGGGCAGGTGATGATAAGTCGCGATGTCAACTTCGATGAGTCGGCCTTTGGAATGTCGATGCTGATTTCCGATGACGATGTTGATGGCCTGGACTTCGAATCGATCGATCTTGATGATGAAGAACCGCGTCCGAGACACTTCAAACAAACAGGAAAGCGCAAGGCCCAACCCAGTCACGACAATGACGACGCAAGCATGCCCCGAGCAGTGCGCCAACGACCCGGATTGGAAGAGTCAAGTGCGCCGGATGACCTCTCTTCACGTCGAGCCAACGAAGATGAAGAAAGGAAGTCGGAGGAACAACATGACACACCGACTTCCTCCGCGTTTTGGCATGCGAGTGCAAACGCCGTCGAAGCAGCGGTCGATTTTTCGGAGCCGTCAACATTTGAAGAAGCAGTGTCTGGCCCGGACCAAGTACACTGGCGCAAGGCAATTGATGCGGAGCTCGATTCGATGAAGCTTCGCGGTGTCTTTCGTGCGGCCAAGTTACCCAACGGACAAAGCGCCATTGGCACAAAGTGGGTCTTCAAGATCAAGCGCAAGGCGGATGGGTCGATCGAGAAATACAAGGCACGACTTGTGGCCAAGGGTTTTCGCCAAAAGTATGGCATCGACTACACGGAGACGTTCTCGCCCGTGGTCAAGTATGTGACGCTGCGAATGGTCATCGCCATTACCAAGCACTTTGGATGGCCCCTCGACCAGCTCGATGTGGTGACTGCGTTCCTGTATGGAGTGATGAAGGAGAAGGTGTTCTGCGCTGTTCCGGAAGGCGTCAAGATGGAAGGTGATTTCGACTGTCTCGAGCTGATCAAGGCGATCTACGGTCTCAAGCAAGCCTCGCGTGTTTGGAACGAGACCTTCGACGAGTTCATACGCTCGATTGGTTTTCAAGCGTCGGGATTCGATCCATGTCTCTACATCATGACTTCGGAAGGCCATTGTGTTTTTGTGCTGGTCTACGTGGACGATGTCTTGGTGACTGGAAGCTCGCTCGAGATGATTGCGCGCACCAAGAACGACCTCAAGACACGCTTCGAGATGACGGACAGCGGCAAGTGTGCCTTTGTTCTTGGGATCGAGTTATTGGACGGTGAAGATGGCAGCGTGACTATGTGTCAGCGCCGTTATGTCGACGATGTCCTCAAGCGCTTTGGAATGGATGAGTGCAAGGCTGTGGCAAGTCCGGTGGACGTCAGCTCTCGACTGGTTCCAAGCAACTCTGCAAGCAAGCTGGATGTCCCATTCCGTGAAGCAGTGGGTGCTTTGATGCATCTGACGACTGCAACGCGACCGGACATCGCCTATGCTGTAAGCTTTGTGTCACGGTTCATGGAGAAACCCCAAGAAGAACACTGGGTTGCAGTCAAGCGCATCTTCCGCTACCTACAAGGCACCAAGATGCATGGAATCTGCTACAAGCCAAGTGCGAAGATCGACTTTCGTGGCTATTCAGATGCAGACTGGGCCGGTGACCTTGCTGATCGCAAATCGACGTCCGGCTACGTCTTCATGCTATTGGGTGCTCCGGTGAGTTGGGGCAGCAAGAAACAGCCAAGTGTGTCACTGTCTACAAGCGAAGCAGAGTACATCGCGCTCAGCCTGGCGATCCAAGAAGGCAAGTGGATCAATCGCTTGCTGTGCGAGATCATGGCGGCTGCAAACGAAGAAGGACCCGAGCTCGTCATCCGTGAAGACAACCAGTCGTGCATCAAGGTGACGAAGAATCCGGTCAACCACGGCCGCGCTAAACACATCGACATCAAGTACCATCACATCCGTGATGAAGTCAAGCGCGGCGAAGTGAAGCTTGAATACTGCGAGACGACGTTGATGTTGGCGGACATCATGACGAAGGGACTTCACGGACCGCGTCACAAGGACTTGACGGCGGCGCTTGGCATCCGTGCGTGTTCGGATTGAGGGGGCGTATTGAGGGTTACCGGTACAATCCGAACCTAGCGCGTAGTTCTTACGAGATAGTTTTTACATCGGTAATTACCTCAGAGATGATTAGACGCGTAGGATGATTGGACGCGTGTAAATCAGGTTGATTAGATGCACCATGTGATTGGATGCAGTCTAGGGTAGGCAGAAGTTAAGACCTATAAATCAATCACTTTCGAATCCTCCCTCAAGTGAGCAAGTGTTCTCTGCTTCGTTCTCTCCGGTCTCTCCGCTTCGTTTTCTCTTCGCCTCGCGCTCAAGTTACAACAGCTTGCATCTTCTTCGTCATCAGACATCGTTTCTGGAGCACTTGATCGTCGTTTCTGGTGACGGTTGGAGACGTGTTCCGGCGCACTTGCTTGTTCCAACCCAGTTCGAGGGCGAGCTGAACGTGACATGCCGGGTCTTGCTTCACTCTTGCGCTTGCCAGTCTGCTTGTAGACGGTTTGACGCACGTCGTCCTCGTTGATCGCCAGGAGGTCGAGGTCCAACTCCGCATCTTCATCGTCGTCACTTGGTCGGTCCATCGAAAAGTCAAAAGTCGATTCGTCGAAGGTGATGTCACGACTGATCACCACTTGGTCCGCCTCAATGTCGTACACTCGATAAGCTTTTGACGCTTCTTCGTAGCCCATGAACATCCCTTCACGAGCCTTCGGGTCCCACTTCAATCGCTTCTCCCTTGGTGTCAGGATAAACGCCCGACATCCAAACACGCGCATGTGCTTGACACTTGGTTTCGACTTGTACACGATCTCGAACGGAGTCTTGTGGTCGATCTTGGGTGAAGGCAGGCGGTTCTTGATGTAGATCGCCGTCATTGCCGCTTCAGCCCAGAACACTTCTCCAGTTTTGCATGATGCAACAAGCTGCGTCCGATCGTGACGATGGTCCTTATCGCGCGTTCTGCGGTGCCGTTGGTCTGGTGTGCATACGGCACCGTGATCTGTTGTTCGATACCATGATCTTCGTAGAAGGTCTTGATGGAGTTGGTCGCAAACTCATTTTTTTTTCTGCGCTCCATCGTGCCGAACAAACTTGATCTTCGTGCCGAACTGAGTTTGAATCTTGATGATGTGGTTCTTGATACAGTCTTCACTCTCAGACTTGGACCGCAGACAGAAGCCCTTCATGCAACCGCTAGCTTCTTCAACCACAAGCAGTAAGTATTTGCTGCCGCCGATCGAGACTTGTTCCATTGGCCCGCAGATGTCGAAGTGCAGCAACTCGAACACACCATATTGGCGTTTGTCACGGTTGGTTGGGAATGGTTTTTGGACCATCTTTCCTTGCTGGCAACCGCGACACACACTTGGACTAGTCGAGTTGAGAGGTGCCTTGGCGTCCTTGATCATGCCAGTGGCCACCATCTTGCGCAGAACTTCGAGGGGTGCATGACCCATGCGCGCATGCAAGTCGATGGTCCCATTGCGTGTTGCTGCATTTGCCGATCGTTGAGGAGTCCGCAGCCAGTAAAGTCCATCGACGAGATCCGCTGTTGCCACGACTTGTGTGGAATTCTTGCGCTTCACTTGCATCTTGGATCCATCGAACACGACTTGGAACCTGCCACCCTTGTTGATCTGTGGCACCGAAAGCAGATTCTTGCTCATACTTGGTACGAACAGTGCGTCCTTGATCTCGATGTCGTGTTCGTCACCATTGGGCAGAACCACCCGTTCCATGATGGTTCCCACACCCTTGATCGCAGCCTTGCTGCCATCAGCCACTGATAGTTCGCCTTCCTCTCGCTCATTCAGACTTGCAAACTTGGCCTTGTCGTTGCAGATGTGATGCGTCGCACCGCTGTCGACTGCCCACATCCCTGGCATATTCTTGCCCGTCGAAAGTCCAGCCTCCAGCGAAACCGCGAACGCAACTCGATCGTAGTTGTCGTCGTTGTTGTTGTTGTTGGTTCGCCACTGAACGTTGTTGGCTCCGCGTCCACGAGCATTGTTGCCGCCGCGTCGAGCTCCACCTTGATTTTCGTCCTTCTGCTTGGTCCAGCACCGCTCCGCCGTGTGCCCCAATTTTCCGCAGTATGTACACTGGCGAGGTTCACGCTCGGTACTGAACGCCTTGGCCGCGTCTTCAGTCTTCACCGATGTCGTCTTGTCACCTTGCCTCTTGATGTGCTCATTCGTGAGCACTCTCACGACGTCTCGCGATCGCAGTTCCGCGCTGCTCATCTCCAAGTTGAGAACGACGTTCTCGTAGCTCTTGGGAAGGCTGCGCAACAAGCAGATCGCCACGTCCTCGTCCTCCATCTTGGCGCCGATGCTGCTGAGCTTCGCGCTGATGTTGAGGACTTCGTTGCAATGATGCATCACATTGCCGCCTTCCGCCATCTCCATGCTGAACAGCTGGCGCTTCAAGTAGATGCGTCCAGCCTTCTGCGACCCGCCGTACAGCGTCTTCAAACGCGCCCACGCGACCCACGCCTCTTCACAGTCATCAACCACGTGATGATAATCCGCGCTTATGTGCAGAAGCATCAAGCCGAACGCAATGTTGTTCGTCTTGACGTAGTCGTCACTGGCGCGAGGATCGGCGAAGGTGGGGGTGGTCTCCCGGTTCACCACGTGCCACGCCGACTTGGTCAGGAACACGCCACGCATGTAGCGGCTCCACGTCGCGTAGTTGTCGCCGTCGAACTTGTCAATGGAGATCTTGGTGGTGGCATCATGAGCAGAGGACATCGTGCTTGGGCTCATAACCTGTTGAAGGGTGAAAAGCTTGACGACCGAAACTGGGAGTGATGCTGGGAGTCCACTCGGAAGACCGGAGAAGACACTTGGGGGGTAGATAGAAGATTGGAAAGTGATTGATTATCGGGGCTTACTACTTACTACATGATTTATATGTGGTGCACATATAAATCATGTGAAGCGTCTCATCATCCTACGCGTTGTTGACGGTCATCGGTTTCTACCAGTATTGGTAACCGTGACCGGTCCAATCCGAACCGCCTGTTCAGCTTAGTATTTACGACGTAGTTCTTACGGTAATTACCATAGTTGATTAGACGCGTAGGATGATGAGACGCTTCACATGATTTATATGTGCACCACATATAAATCATGTAGTAAGTAGTAAGCCCCGATAATCAATCACTTTTCAATCTTCTATCTACCCCCCAAGTGTCTTCTCCGGTCTTCCGAGTGGACTCCCAGCATCACTCCCAGTTTCGGTCGTCAAGCTTTTCACCCCTCAACAGGTTATGAGCCCAAGCACGATGTCCTCTGCTCATGATGCCACCACCAAGATCTCCATTGACAAGTTCGACGGCGACAACTACGCGACGTGGAGCCGCTACATGCGTGGCGTGTTCCTGACCAAGTCGGCGTGGCACGTGGTGAACCGGGATACCACCCCCACCTTCGCCGATCCTCGCGCCAGTGACGACTACGTCAAGACGAACAACATTGCGTTCGGCTTGATGCTTCTGCACATAAGCGCGGATTATCATCACGTGGTTGATGACTGTGAAGAGGCGTGGGTCGCGTGGGCGCGTTTGAAGACGCTGTACGGCGGGTCGCAGAAGGCTGGACGCATCTACTTGAAGCGCCAGCTGTTCAGCATGGAGATGGCGGAAGGCGGCGATGTGATGCATCATTGCAACGAAGTCCTCAACATCAGCGCGAAGCTCAGCAGCATCGGCGCCAAGATGGAGGACGAGGACGTGGCGATCTGCTTGTTGCGCAGCCTTCCCAAGAGCTACGAGAACGTCGTTCTCAACTTGGAGATGAGCAGCGCGGAACTGCGATCGCGAGACGTCGTGAGAGTGCTCACGAATGAGCACATCAAGAGGCAAGGTGACAAGACGACATCGGTGAAGACTGAAGACGCGGCGAAGGCGTTCAGTACCGAGCGTGAACCTCGCCAGTGTACATACTGCGGAAAATTGGGGCACACGGCGGAGCGGTGCTGGACCAAGCAGAAGGACGAAAATCAAGGTGGAGCTCGACGCGGCGGCAACAATGCTCGTGGACGCGGAGCCAACAACGTTCAGTGGCGAACCAACAACAACAACAACGACGACAACTACGATCGAGTTGCGTTCGCGGTTTCGCTGGAGGCTGGACTTTCGACGGGCAAGAATATGCCAGGGATGTGGGCAGTCGACAGCGGTGCGACGCATCACATCTGCAACGACAAGGCCAAGTTTGCAAGTCTGAATGAGCGAGAGGAAGGCGAACTTATTGAGGGTTACCGGTACAATCCGAACCTAGCGCGTAGTTCTTACGAGATAGTTTTTACATCGGTAATTACCTCAGAGATGATTAGACGCGTAGGATGATTGGACGCGTGTAAATCAGGTTGATTAGATGCACCATGTGATTGGATGCAGTCTAGGGTAGGCAGAAGTTAAGACCTATAAATCAATCACTTTCGAATCCTCCCTCAAGTGAGCAAGTGTTCTCTGCTTCGTTCTCTCCGGTCTCTCCGCTTCGTTTTCTCTTCGCCTCGCGCTCAAGATACAACAGGTTATGAGCCCAAGCGCCATGTCGTTCAACAACACCTCGGCCAGTGTCTCCATCGATAAGTTCGATGGGGACAACTACTCAACCTGGTGTCGCTACATGCGCGGCGTGTTTCTGACGAAGTCAGTCTGGTACGTCGTGAACCGCGAAACGTCTCCAACCTTCACCGACACGCGAGCTTCCGACGAGTACGTCAAGGCGAGCAACATCGCGTTCGGGTTGATGTTGCTCCACATGGACGCTGACTACCACCATGTGGTCGACAACTGTGAAGAAGCATGGACAGCGTGGTCGCGGTTGAAGATGCTCTATGGTGGGTCGCAGAAGGCGGGACGCATCTACCTCAAGCGCCAGCTGTTCAGCATCAAGATGGCGGAAGGTGCCAACGTCTTGCACCATTGCAACGAAGTCTTGAACATCGGCGCCAAGCTCAGCAGCATCGGTGCCAAGATGGAAGACGAAGACATTGCGATCTGCTTGCTGCTCAGTCTCCCGAAGAGTTTCGAGAACGTGGTTCTGAACTTAAAGATGAGCAATGCAGAGCTGCGCACGCAAGATGTGGTCAAGGTGCTTGTTGTAACTTGAGCGCGAGGCGAAGAGAAAACGAAGCGGAGAGACCGGAGAGAACGAAGCAGAGAACACTTGCTCACTTGAGGGAGGATTCGAAAGTGATTGATTTATAGGTCTTAACTTCTGCCTACCCTAGACTGCATCCAATCACATGGTGCATCTAATCAACCTGATTTACACGCGTCCAATCATCCTACGCGTCTAATCATCTCTGAGGTAATTACCGATGTAAAAACTATCTCGTAAGAACTACGCGCTAGGTTCGGATTGTACCGGTAACCCTCAATACGCCCCCTCAATCCGAACACGCACGGATGCCAAGCGCCGCCGTCAAGTCCTTGTGACGCGGTCCGTGAAGTCCCTTCGTCATGATGTCCGCCAACATCAACGTCGTCTCGCAGTATTCAAGCTTCACTTCGCCGCGCTTGACTTCATCACGGATGTGATGGTACTTGATGTCGATGTGTTTAGCGCGGCCGTGGTTGACCGGATTCTTCGTCATCTTGATGCACGACTGGTTGTCTTCACGGATGACGAGCTCGGGTCCTTCTTCGTTTGCAGCCGCCATGATCTCGCACAGCAAGCGATTGATCCACTTGCCTTCTTGGATCGCCAGGCTGAGCGCGATGTACTCCGCTTCGCTTGTAGACAGTGACACACTTGGCTGTTTCTTGCTGCCCCAACTCACCGGAGCACCCAATAGCATGAAGACGTAGCCGGACGTCGATTTGCGATCAGCAAGGTCACCGGCCCAGTCTGCATCTGAATAGCCACGAAAGTCGATCTTCGCACTTGGCTTGTAGCAGATTCCATGCATCTTGGTGCCTTGTAGGTAGCGGAAGATGCGCTTGACTGCAACCCAGTGTTCTTCTTGGGGTTTCTCCATGAACCGTGACACAAAGCTTACAGCATAGGCGATGTCCGGTCGCGTTGCAGTCGTCAGATGCATCAAAGCACCCACTGCTTCACGGAATGGGACATCCAGCTTGCTTGCAGAGTTGCTTGGAACCAGTCGAGAGCTGACGTCCACCGGACTTGCCACAGCCTTGCACTCATCCATTCCAAAGCGCTTGAGGACATCGTCGACATAACGGCGCTGACACATAGTCACGCTGCCATCTTCACCGTCCAATAACTCGATCCCAAGAACAAAGGCACACTTGCCGCTGTCCGTCATCTCGAAGCGTGTCTTGAGGTCGTTCTTGGTGCGCGCAATCATCTCGAGCGAGCTTCCAGTCACCAAGACATCGTCCACGTAGACCAGCACAAAAACACAATGGCCTTCCGAAGTCATGATGTAGAGACATGGATCGAATCCCGACGCTTGAAAACCAATCGAGCGTATGAACTCGTCGAAGGTCTCGTTCCAAACACGCGAGGCTTGCTTGAGACCGTAGATCGCCTTGATCAGCTCGAGACAGTCGAAATCACCTTCCATCTTGACGCCTTCCGGAACAGCGCAGAACACCTTCTCCTTCATCACTGTTGACGGTCATCGGTTTTCTACCAGTATTGGTAACCGTGACCGATCCAATCCGAACCGCCTGTTCAGCTTAGTATTTACGACGGAGTTCTTACGGTAATTACCATAGTTGATTAGACGCGTAGGATGATGAGACGCTTCACATGATTTATATGTACACCACATATAAATCATGTAGTAAGTAGTAAGCCCCGATAATCAATCACTTTCGAATCTTCCAACTATTGGGCAAGTGTTTTCTGCTCTACTCTCTTCGGTCTCTCCGCTCCGTTCGCTCCGCTTTCCTCGCTCCGATCTACAATGCAACAGGTTATGAGCCCAAGTGCTCGCTGCAGACACCTCACCAAGGACCAACTTGTGCGAGGGACACCCCGTCAGAGAAGGCGCTCGATGCACGAGTAAGACGCCGAAGAATTCATCGACAGGGATCGTTGACGGTGCGCGTGCAGTCGAAAAGGGTTTGTGCAAGGGTGGTGACGCGAGATGGTCTGAATGCGCGAGTGCTATCGAAGGAAGAGTCAAGTCAAGTGGTGACAAGTGTATTTGTGGTCAAGAAGAAGTGGAAACTATATGCAAGGCGAACGACGACTACGAGATGTCAAGATGTGACATGGTGCTGGACGATGGGGGAGCTGGAATACCTGGAACGCTCGGTATCATCGAGGTTGGCTGGAGCGCAGGGGCAAGACTCAATCAAGATTCCCATGGTGCACGGATGCAGCAGTGAGGATTACAGGCGGGTCGATACCAAAGTGGTCTGCATCTCATGTCGTCGAGGGGGAGTGTTGTAAGTGCATGATGCACTGGATTCGACTCCAGAGATTCGACCCATGATAGGGTATGTCTAGAATGTTCTTTAGGGTTCTATGCATTATTATTGGTCGTACGGCAGCTAGACGTATGGATAGTTCTCACTTGTAGATTGACAAACCACTGATGAGGCCCCCGGCGGGGGGCCGAAACGCGTCTGGTGCGCGGTAATATACAAGTCATTTACTTTACTTAACTCTTACTTCTTACAGGTTATGAGCCCAAGCGCCATGTCGTCCACCAGCAACGCCTCCATTGACAAGTTCAACGGAGACAATTACGCAACGTGGAGCCGGTACATGCGCGGTGTGTTTTTGACGAAGTCCGTCTGGCACGTCGTCAACCGTGAAGTGACTCCGACTTTCACCGACCCGCGAGCGTCCGATGACTACGTCAAGGCAAGCAACGTCGCGTTTGGTATGATGCTGCTGCACATGAACGCGGACTACCATCATGTGCTGGACAACTGCGAGGAAGCCTGGGTTGCGTGGACAAGTCTGAAGACGCTGTACGGTGGGTCGCAGAAGGCAGGACGCATCTACCTCAAGCGACAACTTTTCAGTATCAAGATGGCTGAGGGCGCGAATGTCATGCATCACTGCAACGAGGTCCTCAACATCTCCGCCAAGCTTAGCGGCATCGGTGCGAAGATGGAAGACGAAGACGTTGCAATTTGTCTGCTACTCAGTCTTCCGAAGAGCTACGAAAATGTGGTGCTCAACATGGAAATGAGCAGCACCGAGCTTCGCACTCAAGATGTGGTGAGAGTCCTGACGAATGAGCATGCCAAGCGTCAAGGAGAAAAAGGGACAACGACAGCGACTACGGTGAAGGCTGAAGATGCAAGCAAGGCATTCAGCGCCGAGCGTGAGCCCTACCAATGCACGTATTGTGGCAAGGTGGGACACACGGTGGATCGTTGCTGGACAAAGCAGAAGAACGAAGGTCAGGGGAGCCCGACGCGGCGGCAATGGTCGTGGACGCGGGGCTAACAATGTCCAGTGGGGACATCATGATGAAGGTAATGGCTACGATCGAGTGGCGTTTGCAGTCTCGTTCGAATGTGGAGTTTCGACGAGCATGGACGTGTCTGGAATGTGGGCCGTCGACAGTGGTGCAACGCACCACATTTGCCACGACAAGACCAAGTTCGCAAGTTTGGCAGAGCGCAATGAGGGCGAACTCTTGGTGGCTGATGGCAACAAGGTGGCCATCAAGGGTGTGGGAACCATCATGGAAAAGGTGGTTCTGCCCAACGGTGAAGAGCGTGAGATCGAAATCAAGAACGCGCTATATGTTCCAAGTATGAGCAAGAACCTGCTCTCGGTGCCACAGATTAACAGCCATGGCAAGTTTCAAGTCGTGTTTGACGGGTCCAAGATGTATGTGACTCTCAAGAACTCACAGCAAGTGGTGGCGACAGCGGATCTCGTGGATGGACTCTACTGGCTTCCGGACGACTCAACGATCAGCGAATGTGACAACAAGTGGAACCAGTTGTGCCGATCTACATGCGAGAATGGGTCATGCTCCAGTCGATGTACTTCGCAAGATGATCGCGACCAACATGATCAAGGATGTGCGAGTCCCTCTCAAGTCGGGTGGAGCAACTACATGTCGAGGATGTCAACAAGGGAAAATGGTCCAAAAACCATTTCCAAGCAACCGAGACAAGCGCAGCTACGATACGTTTGAGCTACTTCATCTGGACATCTGCGGGCCCATGGAAAAGGATTCGCTCGGTGGCAGCAAATATTTGCTGCTGATCATCGACGAAGCCAGTGGATGCATGAAGGGCTTTTGTCTACGAGTGAAGTCCGAGAGTGAAGACTACATCCGGAAATATATCACGATGGTGCAGACGCAGTTCGGCAAGAAGGTCAAGTTTGTGCGCCAAGACGGAGCTCGCGAGTTTGCTACGAACTCGCTTCAAGATTTCTACGAGGATGAAGGCATTGAACAGCAGACGACGGTGCCGTATGCACACCAGACCAACGGAACAGCAGAGCGCGCCATTCGGACTATCGTCACGATCGGCCGCAGCATGCTTCACCATGCCAAGTTGGACAAGTGCTTCTGGGCTGAATTAGCAATGACGGTCATCTACGTCAAGAATCGCCTACCGTCACCAAAAATGTGCACAAGACCCCGTTTGAGATCGTCTACAACTTGAAACCAAGCGTCAAGCACATGCGAACATTCGGGTGTCAGACATACATACTGACGCCTAAAGAGAATCGACTCAAGTGGGATCCAAAGGCTCGCGCTGGCATATTCGTGGGCTACGAAGAAGTTTCGAAGGCATATCGTGTTTATGACATCGAGGCGGGGCAGGTGGTTATCAGCCGCGATGTCAACTTCGACGAGTCCACCTTTGGACTTCAACTGCCGATCACTGATGAAGATGTTGACGGTCATCGGTTTTCTACCAGTATTGGTAACCGTGACCGATCCAATCCGAACCGCCTGTTCAGCTTAGTATTTACGACGTAGTTCTTACGGTAATTACCATAGTTGATTAGACGCGTAGGATGATGAGACGCTTCACATGATTTATATGTACACCACATATAAATCATGTAGTAAGTAGTAAGCCCCGATAATCAATCACTTTCGAATCTTCCAACTATTGGGCAAGTGTTTTCTGCTCTACTCTCTTCGGTCTCTCCGCTCCGTTTGCTCCGCTTTCCTCGCTCCGATCTACAATGCAACAGGTTATGAGCCCAAGTGCTCGCTGCAGACACCTCACCAAGGACCAACTTGTGCGAGGGACACCCCGTCAGAGAAGGCGCTCGATGCACGAGTAAGGCGCCGAAGAATTCATCGACAGGGATCGTTGACGGTGCGCGTGCAGTCGAAAAGGGTTTGTGCAAGGGTGGTGACGCGAGATGGTCTGAATGCGCGAGTGCTATCGAAGGAAGAGTCAAGTCAAGTGGTGACAAGTGTATTTGTGGTCAAGAAGAAGTGGAAACTACATGCAAGGCGAACGACGACTACGAGATGTCAAGATGTGACATGGTGCTGGACGATGGGGGAGCCGGAATACCTGGAACGCTCGGTATCATCGAGGTTGGCTGGAGCGCAGGGGAAAGACTCAATCAAGATTCCCATGGTGCACGGATGCAGCAGTGAGGATTACAGGCGGGTCGATACCAAAGTGGTCTGCATCTCATGTCTTCGAGGGGGAGTGTTTTAAGTGCTTGATGCACTGGATTCGACTCCAGAGATTCGACCCATGATAGGGTATGTCTAGAATGTTCTTTAGGGTTCTATGCATTATTATTGGTCGTACGGCAGCTAGACGTATGGATAGTTCTCACTTGTAGATTGACAAACCACTGATGAGGCCCCCGGCGGGGGGCCGAAACGCGTCTGGTGCGCGGTAATATACAAGTTATTTACTTTACTTAGCTCCTACTTTTTACAGGTTATGAGCCCAAGCGCCATGTCGTCCACCAGCAACGCCTCCATTGACAAGTTCAACGGAGACAATTACGCAACGTGGAGTCGGTACATGCGCGGTGTGTTTTTGACGAAGTCCGTCTGGCACGTCGTCAACCGTGAAGTGACTCCGACTTTCACCGACCCGCGAGCGTCCGATGACTACGTCAAGGCAAGCAACGTCGCGTTTGGTATGATGCTGCTGCACATGAACGCGGACTACCATCATGTGCTGGACAACTGCGAGGAAGCCTGGGTTGCGTGGACAAGTCTGAAGACGCTGTACGGTGGGTCGCAGAAGGCAGGACGCATCTACCTCAAGCGACAACTTTTCAGTATCAAGATGGCTGAGGGCGCGAATGTCATGCATCACTGCAACGAGGTCCTCAACATCTCCGCCAAGCTTAGCGGCATCGGTGCGAAGATGGAAGACGAAGACGTTGCAATTTGTCTGCTACTCAGTCTTCCGAAGAGCTACGAAAATGTGGTGCTCAACATGGAAATGAGCAGCACCGAGCTTCGCACTCAAGATGTGGTGAGAGTCCTGACGAATGAGCATGCCAAGCGTCAAGGAGAAAAAGGGACAACGACAGCGACTACGGTGAAGGCTGAAGATGCAAGCAAGGCATTCAGCGCCGAGCGTGAGCCCTACCAATGCACGTATTGTGGCAAGGTGGGACACACGGTGGATCGTTGCTGGACAAAGCAGAAGAACGAAGGTCGGGGGAGCCCGACGCGGCGGCAATGGTCGTGGACGCGGGGCTAACAATGTCCAGTGGGGACATCATGATGAAGGTAATGGCTACGATCGAGTGGCGTTTGCAGTCTCGTTCGAATGTGGAGTTTCGACGAGCATGGACGTGTCTGGAATGTGGGCCGTCGACAGTGGTGCAACGCACCACATTTGCCACGACAAGACCAAGTTCGCAAGTTTGGCAGAGCGCAATGAGGGCGAACTCTTGGTGGCTGATGGCAACAAGGTGGCCATCAAAGGGTGTGGGAACCATCATGGAAAAGGTGGTTCTGCCCAACGGTGAAGAGCGTGAGATCGAAATCAAGAACGCGCTATATGTTCCAAGTATGAGCAAGAACCTGCTCTCGGTGCCACAGATTAACAGCCATGGCAAGTTTCAAGTCGTGTTTGACGGGTCCAAGATGTATGTGACTCTCAAGAACTCACAGCAAGTGGTGGCGACAGCGGATCTCGTGGATGGACTCTACTGGCTTCGGACGACTCAACGATCAGCGAATGTGACAACAAGTGGAACCAGTTGTGCCGATCTACATGCGAGAATGGGTCATGCTCCAGTCGATGTACTTCGCAAGATGATCGCGACCAACATGATCAAGGATGTGCGAGTCCCTCTCAAGTCGGGTGGAGCAACTACATGTCGAGGATGTCAACAAGGGAAAATGGTCCCAAAAACCATTTCCAAGCAACCGAGACAAGCGCAGCTACGATACGTTTGAGCTACTTCATCTGGACATCTGCGGGCCCATGGAAAAGGATTCGCTCGGTGGCAGCAAATATTTGCTGCTGATCATCGACGAAGCCAGTGGATGCATGAAGGGCTTTTGTCTACGAGTGAAGTCCGAGAGTGAAGACTACATCCGGAAATATATCACCATGGTACAGACGCAATTCTGTAAGAAGGTCAAGTTCGTGCGACACGACGGAGCTCGCGAGTTTGCAACCAACTCGCAGCTGTTCTACGAAGACGAAGGCATTGAACAGCAGACAACGGTGCCGTATGCACATCAAACAAACGGAACAGCAGAGCGTGCCATTAGGACTATTGTCACGATCGGCCGCAGCATGCTTCATCATGCCAAACTGGACAAGTGTTTCTGGGCCGAAGCAGCGATGACGGCCATCTTGTTGACGGTCATCGGTTTCTACCAGTATTGGTAACCGTGACCGGTCCAATCCGAACCGCTTGTTCAGCTTAGTATTTACGACGTAGTTCTTACGGTAATTACCATGGTTGATTAGACGCGTAGGATGATGAGACGCTTCACATGATTTATATGTGCACCACATATAAATCATGTAGTAAGTAGTAAGCCCCGATAATCAATCACTTTCCAATCTTCCATCTACCCCCCAAGTGTCTTCTCCGGTCTTCCGAGTAGACTCCCAGCATCACTCCCAGTTTCGGTCGTCAAGCTTTTCACCAATCAACAGGTTATGAGCCCAAGCACGATGTCCTCTGCTCATGATGCCACCACCAAGATCTCCATCGACAAGTTCGACGGCGACAACTACGCGACGTGGAGCCGCTACATGCGTGGCGTGTTCCTGACCAAGTCGGCGTGGCACGTGGTGAACCGGGAGACCACCCCCACCTTCGCCGATCCTCGCGCCAGTGACGACTACATCAAGACGAACAACATTGCGTTCGGCTTGATGCTTCTGCACATGAGCGCGGATTATCATCACGTGGTTGATGACTGTGAAGAGGCGTGGGTCGCGTGGGCGCGTTTGAAGACGCTGTACGGCGGGTCGCAGAAGGCTGGACGCATCTACTTGAAGCGCCAGCTGTTCAGCATGGAGATGGCGGAAGGCGGCAATGTGATGCATCATTGCAACGAAGTCCTCAACATCAGCGCGAAGCTCAGCAGCATCGGCGCCAAGATGGAGGACGAGGACGTGGCGATCTGCTTGTTGCGCAGCCTCCCCAAGAGCTACGAGAACGTCGTTCTCAACTTGGAGATGAGCAGCGCGGAACTGCGATCGCGAGACGTCGTGAGAGTGCTCACGAATGAGCACATCAAGAGGCAAGGTGACAAGACGACATCGGTGAAGACTGAAGACGCGGCCAAGGCGTTCAGTACCGAGCGTGAACCTCGCCAGTGTACATACTGCGGAAAATTGGGGCACACGGCGGAGCGGTGCTGGACCAAGCAGAAGGACGAAAATCAAGGTGGAGCTCGACGCGGCGGCAACAATGCTCGTGGACGCGGAGCCAACAACGTTCAGTGGCGAACCAACAACAACAACAACGACGACAACTACGATCGAGTTGCGTTCGCGGTTTCGCTGGAGGCTGGACTTTCGACGGGCAAGAATATGCCAGGGATGTGGGCAGTCGACAGCGGTGCGACGCATCACATCTGCAACGACAAGGCCAAGTTTGCAAGTCTGAATGAGCGAGAGGAAGGCGAACTATCAGTGGCTGATGGCAGCAAGGCTGCGATCAAGGGTGTGGGAACCATCATGGAACGGGTGGTTCTGCCCAATGGTGACGAACGCGACATCGAGATCAAGGACGCACTGTTCGTACCAAGTATGAGCAAGAATCTGCTTTCGGTGCCACAGATCAACAAGGGTGGCAGGTTCCAAGTCGTGTTCGATGGATCCAAGATGCAAGTGAAGCGCAAGAATTCCACACAAGTCGTGGCAACAGCGGATCTCGTCGATGGACTTTACTGGCTGCGGACTCCTCAACGATCGGCAAATGCAGCAACACGCAATGGGACCATCGACTTGCATGCGCGCATGGGTCATGCACCCCTCGAAGTTCTGCGCAAGATGGTGGCCACTGGCATGATCAAGGACGCCAAGGCACCTCTCAACTCGACTGGTCCAAGTGTGTGTCGCGGTTGCCAGCAAGGAAAGATGGTTCAAAAACCATTCCCAACCAACCGTGACAAACGCCAATATGGTGTGTTCGAGTTGCTGCACTTCGACATCTGCGGGCCAATGGAACAAGTTTCGATCGGCGGCAGCAGATACTTACTGCTTGTGGTTGACGAAGCCAGCGGTTGCATGAAGGGCTTCTGTCTGCGGTCCAAGTCTGAGAGTGAAGACTGTATCAAGAACCACATTATCAAGATTCAAACTCAGTTCGGCACGAAGATCAAGTTTGTTCGGCACGATGGAGCGCATGAGTTTGCGACCAACTCCATCAAGACCTTCTACGAAGATCATGGTATTGAACAACAGATCACGGTGCCGTATGCACACCAGACCAACGGCACCGCAGAACGCGCGATAAGGACCATCGTCACGATCGGACGCAGCTTGTTGCATCATGCAAAGCTGGAGAAGTGTTTCTGGGCTGAAGCGGCAATGACGGCGATCTACATCAAGAACCGCCTGCCTTCACCCAAGATCGACCACAAGACTCCGTTCGAGATCGTGTACAAGTCGAAACCAAGTGTCAAGCACATGCGCGTGTTTGGATGTCGGGCGTTTATCCTGACACCAAGGGAGAAGCGATTGAAGTGGGACCCGAAGGCTTGTGAAGGGATGTTCATGGGCTACGAAGAAGCGTCAAAAGCTTATCGAGTGTACGACATTGAGGCGGGCCAAGTGGTGATCAGTCGTGACATCACCTTCGACGAATCGACTTTTGACTTTTCGATGGACCGACCAAGTGACGACGATGAAGATGCGGAGTTGGACCTCGACCTCCTGGCGATCAACGAGGACGACGTGCGTCAAACCGTCTACAAGCAGACTGGCAAGCGCAAGAGTGAAGCAAGACACGGCATGTCACGGTCAGCTCGCCCTCGAACTGGGTTGGAACAAGCAAGTGCGCCGGAACACGTCTCCAACCGTCACCAGAAACGACGATCAAGTGCTCCAGAAACGATGTCTGATGACGAAGAAGATGCAAGCGTGTACGATCAAGATGACGACTCGACGCCTCCAACATTTTGGCGTGCAAGTGCAAACGCAGTGGAAGCAACGGACCTAGCAGAACCTGTGACTTTTCAAGACGCGATCAATGGTCCTGATCAAACTCACTGGCGAAATGCTGTGAAGGCGGAACTCAAGTCGATGCATCTTCGTGGAGTTTTCCGTGCGGCAAAAACTGCCAAGAGGCCAAGGCGCGATCGGCACCAAGTGGGTGTTCAAGATCATGCGCAAAGCGGATGGATCGGTCGAGAAATACAAGGCGCGTCTCGTTGCCAAGGGCTTCAAGCAGAAGTACGGCATCGACTACACAGAGACGTTCTCGCCCGTGGTCAAGTACGTGACACTGCGTATGGTGATCGCGATCACCAAGTATTTCGACTGGCCACTGGACCAACTCGATGTGGTGACAGCCTTTCTCTACGGAGTGATGAAGGAGAAGGTGTACTGCGTGATACCAGAAGGCGTCGAGATGGATGGCGACTTCGACTGTCTCGAGTTGGTGAAGGCGATCTACGGTCTCAAGCAAGCTTCACGTGTGTGGAACGAGACTTTCGACGAGTTCGTATGCTCCATCGGTTTCGAAGCGTCGGCGTTCGACCCATGTCTCTACATCAAGGTTGTCGACGGTCACTGTGTGCTCGTGCTGGTCTACGTGGATGACGTGTTGGTCACCGGCAGCTCGCTCGAGTTGATTGCGCAGACGAAGGCCGACCTCAAGACGCGTTTCGAGATGACCGACAGTGGCAAGTGTACTTTTGTACTGGGCATCGAACTGGTGGACGAATCGGATGGCAGCGTGACAATGTGCCAGCGACGGTATGTCAACGACATCCTCAAGCGCTTCGGCATGGATGAGTGCAAGGCCACAGCAAGTCCGGTCGACTTGAGCACTCGGCTTGTCGCAAGCACCGAAGCGGCCAAGATCGACGTTCCGTTTCGTGAAGCTGTGGGAGCTTTAATGCACTTGACGACTGCGACGCGCCCGGACATTGCGTATGCTGTGGGGTACGTCTCGCGCTTCATGGAGAATCCGCAGCAAGAACATTGGACGGCGGTGAAGCGCATCTTTCGTTACTTGCAAGGGACCAAGTCGCACGGACTCCGCTTCCAGCCAAGCGACAAGATCGACTTTCGTGGCTACTCGGACGCGGACTGGGCCGGCGACCACGCTGATCGCAAGTCGACTTCGGGTTACACTTTCATGCTGATGGGTGCTCCTGTGAGTTGGGGAAGCAAGAAGCAGTCAAGTGTGTCGCTGTCGACGAGTGAAGCGGAATACATCGCACTGAGTCTGGCCATCCAGGAAGGCAAGTGGGTGCATCGCCTGCTATGCGAGATTTTGGCGGCCGCAAACGAACCAGGACCGGACCTCGTCATCCGTGAAGACAACCAGTCGTGCATCAAGATGACGAAGAATCCGGTGAATCATGGCCGCGCCAAGCACATCGACATCAAGTACCATCACATCCGTGATGAGGTCAAGCGCGGGGAAGTGCAGCTCGAGTATTGCGAGACTTCCGTGATGATGGCGGACATCATGACCAAGGGACTTTCGGGACCTCGTCACAAGGACTTGACGACGGCTCTCGGCATTCGTGCGAGTTCGGATTGAGGGGGCGTGTTGACGGTCATCGGTTTCTACCAGTATTGGTAACCGTGACCGGTCCAATCCGAACCGCCTGTTCAGCTTAGTATTTACGACGTAGTTCTTACGGTAATTACCATAGTTGATTAGACGCGTAGGATGATGAGACGCTTCACATGATTTATATGTGCACCACATATAAATCATGTAGTAAGTAGTAAGCCCCGATAATCAATCACTTTCCAATCTTCCATCTACCCCCCAAGTGTCTTCTCCGGTCTTCCGAGTGGACTCTCAGCATGTTGAAAAGACAGCGGCTGTGAAGAAGACACCTCGTCAAGCTGCGTCAAGTGTTGAAGCAAGTGGAAGACCAAGCTTCGCTATACCGGTGGGTACCGGTATGTACCAGTAAGGGCGAAGTCAGGAAATGACGTCACTGGATGACGTCACTGCGAATAATAGGCTTAGAGGTAGTATTCAAAGTTGCGAACTAAGTACCTATTATAAATATATATTCACTTTGCGTTTTGCACTCGGACCAAGAAGTCTAAAGTTCATCAGGTTATGAGCCCAAGTTCGTCAGACTCTGAAACCGCCAACAATTCAAGCTTAGCTGCCATGGACGCCTCCTCCCTCCGCATCTCCAAGTTCGATGGAACTAACTTCCACGCCTGGAAGTTCAAGATGCAGATGGTGCTGGAGGAACGGGACCTATGGGAGGTCGTCAGCGGTGAGATCAAGGCGGAACAGTGCGAGACTCAGTTGGACCAAGCGACGTACAAGAGGAAGTCAAGAAAGGCGATGGCAGTGATCTGTCTAGCCATGGAAGATTCCCAGCTACCGTTGGTCCGGTCGGCAAGTGGTGCATGCGACGCATGGTCAAGGTTGGAAGACCACTTCGAGAAGAAGAGTCTTGCCAACAAGCTGTTCTTGCGCCGTCGCTTCTTCACGACAATGATGGAAGAAGGCGACGATGTGCTCGAACACATCAACAAGCTCAAGACGCTGGCGGAACAGCTAGAAGCGGTGGGGGCTCCAGTCTGCGAGGACGATCTGGTGATCACACTCCTCGGCAGCCTGAGTGACTCGTATCAATTCTTGATCACAGCTTTGGAGTCGCGCTCAGACACTCTTAGCTGGGAGCTCGTGACGTCTCGACTGCTTCATGAAGAAATGAAGCGGAAGGAGCAAGGAAGTAAAGGTGATGAAGCTTCGCAAGGTCAAGCGTTCATCACAAGGGACAATCAGCGCAAAGGGCGACCAGTGAAGAAGTCCTGGCCGTGCCACAATTGCGGAAAGATTGGTCACTGGATGGCGGAGTGCCCCTCGCGCATCCAAGAAAACACGGAGAGACACCGGCCACAGCGTGCTCAAGACAGCGGCGACCGCTATCGATCACAACGTGCAAACGTCGCTCAAGAAGAAGACTCGGGCGACTACCTCTTTTCGATCGGTGAAACGACATCTGCGAAATCGAGCGACATCTGGCTGGTCGACTCCGGGGCGACGCAGCACATGACGTGCTCCAAGAAGTTCATGCGGAACTACAAGGGGTTTGACGCTGTGGATGTCCATCTCGCGGATGATGGAATCGTCCAAGCAATCGGCAGTGGGGACATTGTCATGTCGATGAAGACACCCCAAGGGATGAAGAAAGGTGTGCTCACAAACGTGTGGCACATCCCAAAGTTATCCAGAAACCTGTTCTCGGTCGGCCGCTTCACCAAGGATGTCGGCCCAGTGACGTTCACGAAGGATGGGTGCTATGGAGAAGCGAAAGGGACCAAGTGGAAAATTGGTGCCCGTGAAGGTAAAGGACTGTTCAAGCTGCAAATGACTCCAGTGGCGCCGGAACAAGCAAATGCAGCCAAGTCGTCGGGATGTCAAGGGGGCACCAAGTCGTACCTCTGGCACCTTCGGCTTGGCCACATAGGTCACGATGGACTCAATTGCATCGTGACGAAGAACATTGGAATTGGCATCGACATATCTTCGGTGAAGAAGTGGGACGTGTGTGAAGGTTGTGCTCTGAGAAAACAGACTCGAGTGCGCTTCCAATCGAACACTACAGCTTGCACCTCCAGACTGCTCGAAGTGATTCACAGCGCCGTATGCGGACCGATGTCGATAGCAACTTTCAGTGGAAAGCGGTACTTCGTGACATTCATCGACGGCAAGTCAAGATACTGTGTCGTGTATCTGCTCAAGAGCAAATCTGAAGTTGCGGCGAATTTCATGGAATACGCTGCGATGGCCGAAACGCAAACCGGAAAGTGCGTGAAGTACCTTTAAAGCGACAATGGGGGTGAGCACAAGTCCGACAAGTTGGCACGATTCTGCACGGAACGAGGGATACAACAAAGGTTCACACCCCCATATACTGCTCTGCTCAACGGAGTTGCTGAGAGAATGAATCGCACGCTGGTCGAGTGTGCGCGTTGCATGATGGAACACGCTGGACTGGGAAAGAGCTACTGGGGTGAAGCAGTGATGACGGCGATGTTTCTTCGAAACCGCTGTCCAACACGTGCCATTCACCAAGACAAGTCTCCATATCAAGTGTGGACGATGAAGAAACCGATTCTGGCCAACCTTAAAGTGTTTGGATGCCACGCGTATGTTCAAGTGCCTCAAGACAAACGCGCGAAGTTCGACTCCAAGTCATCACTCTGTCGTTTCCTGGGATACGCCGAACACCAGAAGTCATATCGATTTGAGGAAGTGTCAACAGGAGCGATCAAGATCAGTCGCGATGCCACATTCATGGAAGACAAGTTTGATGAAGGTCCGCGCAACTACAACGATGAGTCAAGTGTCGTTGAGTTTGATGATCATGATGAGGACGAAGAAAAAGAAGAAGGTAAAACTGACGACGACATGGACTCGAGCGACGATGACAACGAAGACACCAGGTCTTCGAAGAGCAACATCAAGAGACACACGCGCACTCAATCACTTGAGAAAGCTACCGTCATTCCAAGTCCCAAGCGAAGAACATACAGAGGTCCGTCGCTTGAGCATGTGTCAGCGGCTGCAATGGATTTTGAAGCAGCCTACATCGTTGATTCAGTGGGGAAACGCCGACTACATTCAAGTCGGCGATGGAATCAAGCGACTCCGGCAAGTGGAAAGAAGCGTGTGACTCGGAGTTCGATTCGCTTCAGAGAAACGACACGTGGGAAATCGTGCCTCTTCCGAAAGGTCGCAAGGCCATCGGGTGCCGATGGGTTTTTCGTGTAAAGGAGAATCAAGATGGCGAAGTTGAACGTTTCAAGGCAAGACTTGTGGCCAAAGGATTCTCACAGAAATTCGGAGTTGACTATGAAGAAACTTTCGCACCGGTGGCCAAGTTCACATCGATTCGTGTGGTGCTCAGTATGGCGGCTAAGTACGGCCTAATGCTACATCAGATGGACGTCAAGACAGCGTTTCTTAACGGCTCCCTCAACGAAGACATCTACATTGACCAGCCGGACGGATACCTGGATGCAACACAGCCGGACTATGTGTGCAAGCTAAAGAGATCACTCTACGGCTTGAAGCAATCGCCTCGCATGTGGAACCAAACAATCGATGGGTTCATGATCAAGATGGGATTCAAGAAGTGCGAATCGGACCACTGCATCTACATCAAGCGAGACGACCAAGACATGATTCTCGTGGTGCTCTACGTCGATGATCTCATCCTGGCCAGCAGCAACAACGAACTCCTCAAGTCAACCAAGATGGCGCTGAGCAAACGCTTCGAAATGACGGATCTCGGTGAGCTCGATTACTTTCTCGGCATGGAGATCAAGAACGACCGTAAGACGGGAATGGTGACTGTACAACAAACCAAGTTTCTCAAGTCCGTGTTAACAAAGTTCGGAATGGATAACAGCAAGCCAGTGAAGACGCCTCAAGATCCCGGCCTGAAGCTAACCAAGAACATGTGTGAACAAGAATGCAAGCACGAAGACACCATGTGCAACGTGCCATATCGAAGTGCTGTCGGAGGCATCATGTATCTCATGGTCGCCACACGTCCGGATCTAGCTGCTGCAGTGGGATCATTATCCCAGTTCTCGTCCGACCCATGCCCGACTCACTGGCAAGCTTTGAAGCGTGTGCTGAGATACCTGCAAGCAACGCCCAATCATGGTCTTGAGTTTACACGTGAAGAAGGAAGCCGTATCTGCGGGTACACCGATGCAGACTGGGCCGGCGACATTGAGTCAAGACGAAGTACAAGCGGCTATGTGTTCATGATGAGCGGAGGATGCATCAGCTGGAAAAGCCAGAAACAACGGACGGTCGCGCTATCTTCAACAGAAGCAGAATACATGGCGCTTTCCGAAGCAACCAAAGAAGCAGTATGGCTCAAAGTGCTTTTGGGGGAACTTGGTGAGATGACAAGCGACGAAGCGATCAAGATGTATGAAGACAACCAAGGATCAATCGCTCTCGCCAAGAACCCGGAGTTCCATAAGAGAACAAAACACATCGACATACGCTACCATTTTGTGCGTGAGAAGGTGGAATCAGGTGAAGTCGTTTTGGAGTATTGCCCGACTCAAGATATGCTGGCAGACATGATGACCAAGCCGATCGCCGCTGTACAATTTGAAAACATTCGCGATCGACTTGGGATCCAAGGTGCCGCAGCTAACGAGTCGAGAGGGAGTGTTGAAAAGACAGCGGCTGTGAAGAAGACACCTCGTCAAGCTGCGTCAAGTGTTGAAGCAAGTGGAAGACCAAGCTTCGCTATACCGGTGGGTACCGGTATGTACCAGTAAGGGCGAAGTCAGGAAATGACGTCACTGGATGACGTCATTGCATGACGTCAGTGGGTGACGTCAGTGGGTGACGTCACTGGATGACGTCACTGCGAATAATAGGCTTAGAGGTAGTATTCAAAGTTGCGAACTAAGTACCTATTATAAATATATATTCACTTTGCGTTTTGCACTCGGACCAAGAAGTCTAAAGTTCATCACGACGAGCATGGACGTGTCTGGAATGTGGGCCGTCGACAGTGGTGCAACGCACCACATTTGCCACGACAAGACCAAGTTCGCAAGTTTGGCAGAGCGCAATGAGGGCGAACTCTTGGTGGCTGATGGCAACAAGGTGGCCATCAAGGGTGTGGGAACCATAATGGAAAAGGTGGTTCTGCCCAACGGTGAAGAGCGTGAGATCGAAATCAAGAACGCGCTATATGTTCCAAGTATGAGCAAGAACCTGCTCTCGGTGCCACAGATTAACAGCCATGGCAAGTTTCAAGTCGTGTTTGACGGGTCCAAGATGTATGTGACTCTCAAGAACTCACAGCAAGTGGTGGCGACAGCGGATCTCGTGGATGGACTCTACTGGCTTCGGACGACTCAACGATCAGCGAATGTGACAACAAGTGGAACCAGTTGTGCCGATCTACATGCGAGAATGGGTCATGCTCCAGTCGATGTACTTCGCAAGATGATCGCGACCAACATGATCAAGGATGTGCGAGTCCCTCTCAAGTCGGGTGGAGCAACTACATGTCGAGGATGTCAACAAGGGAAAATGGTCCAAAAACCATTTCCAAGCAACCGAGACAAGCGCAGCTACGATACGTTTGAGCTACTTCATCTGGACATCTGCGGGCCCATGGAAAAGGATTCGCTCGGTGGCAGCAAATATTTGCTGCTGATCATCGACGAAGCCAGTGGATGCATGAAGGGCTTTTGTCTACGAGTGAAGTCCGAGAGTGAAGACTACATCCGGAAATATATCACCATGGTACAGACGCAATTCTGTAAGAAGGTCAAGTTCGTGCGACACGACGGAGCTCGCGAGTTTGCAACCAACTCGCTTCAACTGTTCTACGAAGACGAAGGCATTGAACAGCAGACAACGGTGCCGTATGCACATCAAACAAACGGAACAGCAGAGCGTGCCATTAGGACTATTGTCACGATCGGCCGCAGCATGCTTCATCATGCCAAACTGGACAAGTGTTTCTGGGCCGAAGCAGCGATGACGGCCATCTACGTCAAGAATCGACTGCCGTCACCTAAAGTCGTGCACAAGACCCCGTTTGAGATCGTCTACAACTTGAAACCAAGCGTCAAGCACATGCGAACATTCGGGTGTCAGACATACATACTGACGCCTAAAGAGAATCGACTCAAGTGGGATCCAAAGGCTCGCGCTGGCATATTCGTGGGCTACGAAGAAGTTTCGAAGGCATATCGTGTTTATGACATCGAGACGGGGCAGGTGGTTATCAGCCGCGATGTCAACTTCGAAGAGTCCACCTTTGGACTTCAACTGCCGATCACTGATGAAGATGTTGACGGTCATCGGTTTTCTACCAGTATTGGTAACCGTGACCGATCCAATCCGAACCGCCTGTTCAGCTTAGTATTTACGACGTAGTTCTTACGGTAATTACCATAGTTGATTAGACGCGTAGGATGATGAGACGCTTCACATGATTTATATGTACACCACATATAAATCATGTAGTAAGTAGTAAGCCCCGATAATCAATCACTTTCGAATCTTCCAACTATTGGGCAAGTGTTTTCTGCTCTACTCTCTTCGGTCTCTCCGCTCCGTTTGCTCCGCTTTCCTCGCTCCGATCTGTTGAAAAGACAGCGGCTGTGAAGAAGACACCTCGTCAAGCTGCGTCAAGTGTTGAAGCAAGTGGAAGACCAAGCTTCGCTATACCGGTGGGTACCGGTATGTACCAGTAAGGGCGAAGTCAGGAAATGACGTCACTGGATGACGTCATTGCATGACGTCAGTGGGTGACGTCAGTGGGTGACGTCACTGGATGACGTCACTGCGAATAATAGGCTTAGAGGTAGTATTCAAAGTTGCGAACTAAGTACCTATTATAAATATATATTCACTTTGCGTTTTGCACTCGGACCAAGAAGTCTAAAGTTCATCAGGTTATGAGCCCAAGTTCGTCAGACTCTGAAACCGCCAACAATTCAAGCTTAGCTGCCATGGACGCCTCCTCCCTCCGCATCTCCAAGTTCGATGGAACTAACTTCCACGCCTGGAAGTTCAAGATGCAGATGGTGCTGGAGGAACGGGACCTATGGGAGGTCGTCAGCGGTGAGATCAAGGCGGAACAGTGCGAGACTCAGTTGGACCAAGCGACGTACAAGAGGAAGTCAAGAAAGGCGATGGCAGTGATCTGTCTAGCCATGGAAGATTCCCAGCTACCGTTGGTCCGGTCGGCAAGTGGTGCATGCGACGCATGGTCAAGGTTGGAAGACCACTTCGAGAAGAAGAGTCTTGCCAACAAGCTGTTCTTGCGCCGTCGCTTCTTCACGACAATGATGGAAGAAGGCGACGATGTGCTCGAACACATCAACAAGCTCAAGACGCTGGCGGAACAGCTAGAAGCGGTGGGGGCTCCAGTCTGCGAGGACGATCTGGTGATCACACTCCTCGGCAGCCTGAGTGACTCGTATCAATTCTTGATCACAGCTTTGGAGTCGCGCTCAGACACTCTTAGCTGGGAGCTCGTGACGTCTCGACTGCTTCATGAAGAAATGAAGCGGAAGGAGCAAGGAAGTAAAGGTGATGAAGCTTCGCAAGGTCAAGCGTTCATCACAAGGGACAATCAGCGCAAAGGGCGACCAGTGAAGAAGTCCTGGCCGTGCCACAATTGCGGAAAGATTGGTCACTGGATGGCGGAGTGCCCCTCGCGCATCCAAGAAAACACGGAGAGACACCGGCCACAGCGTGCTCAAGACAGCGGCGACCGCTATCGATCACAACGTGCAAACGTCGCTCAAGAAGAAGACTCGGGCGACTACCTCTTTTCGATCGGTGAAACGACATCTGCGAAATCGAGCGACATCTGGCTGGTCGACTCCGGGGCGACGCAGCACATGACGTGCTCCAAGAAGTTCATGCGGAACTACAAGGGGTTTGACGCTGTGGATGTCCATCTCGCGGATGATGGAATCGTCCAAGCAATCGGCAGTGGGGACATTGTCATGTCGATGAAGACACCCCAAGGGATGAAGAAAGGTGTGCTCACAAACGTGTGGCACATCCCAAAGTTATCCAGAAACCTGTTCTCGGTCGGCCGCTTCACCAAGGATGTCGGCCCAGTGACGTTCACGAAGGATGGGTGCTATGGAGAAGCGAAAGGGACCAAGTGGAAAATTGGTGCCCGTGAAGGTAAAGGACTGTTCAAGCTGCAAATGACTCCAGTGGCGCCGGAACAAGCAAATGCAGCCAAGTCGTCGGGATGTCAAGGGGGCACCAAGTCGTACCTCTGGCACCTTCGGCTTGGCCACATAGGTCACGATGGACTCAATTGCATCGTGACGAAGAACATTGGAATTGGCATCGACATATCTTCGGTGAAGAAGTGGGACGTGTGTGAAGGTTGTGCTCTGGGAAAACAGACTCGAGTGCGCTTCCAATCAAACACTACAGCTCGCACCTCCAAACTCCTCGAAGTGATTCACAGCGACGTATGCGGACCGATGTCGATGGCAACTTTCAGTGGAAAACGGTACTTCGTGACATTCATTGATGACAAGTCAAGATACTGTGTCGTCTATCTGCTCAAGAGCAAATCTGAAGTTGCGGCGAAGTTCATGGAATACGCTGCGATGGCCGAAACGCAAACCGGAAAGCGCGTGAAGTACCTTCAAAGCGACAATGGGGGTGAATACAAGTCCGACAAGCTGGCACGATTCTGCGCGGAACGGGGAATACAACAAAGGTTCACACCTCCATATACTCCTCAGCTAAACGGAGTAGCTGAGAGAATGAATCGCACGCTGGTCGAGTGTGCGCGTTGCATGATGGAACACGCTGGACTGGGAAAGAGCTACTGGGGTGAAGCAGTGATGACGGCGATGTTTCTTCGAAACCGCTGTCCAACACGTGCCATTCACCAAGACAAGTCTCCATATCAAGTGTGGACGATGAAGAAACCGATTCTGGCCAACCTTAAAGTGTTTGGATGCCACGCGTATGTTCAAGTGCCTCAAGACAAACGCGCGAAGTTCGACTCCAAGTCATCACTCTGTCGTTTCCTGGGATACGCCGAACACCAGAAGTCATATCGATTTGAGGAAGTGTCAACAGGAGCGATCAAGATCAGTCGCGATGCCACATTCATGGAAGACAAGTTTGATGAAGGTCCGCGCAACTACAACGATGAGTCAAGTGTCGTTGAGTTTGATGATCATGATGAGGACGAAGAAAAAGAAGAAGGTAAAACTGACGACGACATGGACTCGAGCGACGATGACAACGAAGACACCAGGTCTTCGAAGAGCAACATCAAGAGACACACGCGCACTCAATCACTTGAGAAAGCTACCGTCATTCCAAGTCCCAAGCGAAGAACATACAGAGGTCCGTCGCTTGAGCATGTGTCAGCGGCTGCAATGGATTTTGAAGCAGCCTACATCGTTGATTCAGTGGGGAAACGCCGACTACATTCAAGTCGGCGATGGAATCAAGCGACTCCGGCAAGTGGAAAGAAGCGTGTGACTCGGAGTTCGATTCGCTTCAGAGAAACGACACGTGGGAAATCGTGCCTCTTCCGAAAGGTCGCAAGGCCATCGGGTGCCGATGGGTTTTTCGTGTAAAGGAGAATCAAGATGGCGAAGTTGAACGTTTCAAGGCAAGACTTGTGGCCAAAGGATTCTCACAGAAATTCGGAGTTGACTATGAAGAAACTTTCGCACCGGTGGCCAAGTTCACATCGATTCGTGTGGTGCTCAGTATGGCGGCTAAGTACGGCCTAATGCTACATCAGATGGACGTCAAGACAGCGTTTCTTAACGGCTCCCTCAACGAAGACATCTACATGGACCAGCCGGACGGATACCTGGATGCAACACAGCCGGACTATGTGTGCAAGCTAAAGAGATCACTCTACGGCTTGAAGCAATCGCCTCGCATGTGGAACCAAACAATCGATGGGTTCATGATCAAGATGGGATTCAAGAAGTGCGAATCGGACCACTGCATCTACATCAAGCGAGACGACCAAGACATGATTCTCGTGGTGCTCTACGTCGATGATCTCATCCTGGCCAGCAGCAACAACGAACTCCTCAAGTCAACCAAGATGGCGCTGAGCAAACGCTTCGAAATGACGGATCTCGGTGAGCTCGATTACTTTCTCGGCATGGAGATCAAGAACGACCGTAAGACGGGAATGGTGACTGTACAACAAACCAAGTTTCTCAAGTCCGTGTTAACAAAGTTCGGAATGGATAACAGCAAGCCAGTGAAGACGCCTCAAGATCCCGGCCTGAAGCTAACCAAGAACATGTGTGAACAAGAATGCAAGCACGAAGACACCATGTGCAACGTGCCATATCGAAGTGCTGTCGGAGGCATCATGTATCTCATGGTCGCCACACGTCCGGATCTAGCTGCTGCAGTGGGATCATTATCCCAGTTCTCGTCCGACCCATGCCCGACTCACTGGCAAGCTTTGAAGCGTGTGCTGAGATACCTGCAAGCAACGCCCAATCATGGTCTTGAGTTTACACGTGAAGAAGGAAGCCGTATCTGCGGGTACACCGATGCAGACTGGGCCGGCGACATTGAGTCAAGACGAAGTACAAGCGGCTATGTGTTCATGATGAGCGGAGGATGCATCAGCTGGAAAAGCCAGAAACAACGGACGGTCGCGCTATCTTCAACAGAAGCAGAATACATGGCGCTTTCCGAAGCAACCAAAGAAGCAGTATGGCTCAAAGTGCTTTTGGGGGAACTTGGTGAGATGACAAGCGACGAAGCGATCAAGATGTATGAAGACAACCAAGGATCAATCGCTCTCGCCAAGAACCCGGAGTTCCATAAGAGAACAAAACACATCGACATACGCTACCATTTTGTGCGTGAGAAGGTGGAATCAGGTGAAGTCGTTTTGGAGTATTGCCCGACTCAAGATATGCTGGCAGACATGATGACCAAGCCGATCGCCGCTGTACAATTTGAAAACATTCGCGATCGACTTGGGATCCAAGGTGCCGCAGCTAACGAGTCGAGAGGGAGTGTTGAAAAGACAGCGGCTGTGAAGAAGACACCTCGTCAAGCTGCGTCAAGTGTTGAAGCAAGTGGAAGACCAAGCTTCGCTATACCGGTGGGTACCGGTATGTACCAGTAAGGGCGAAGTCAGGAAATGACGTCACTGGATGACGTCATTGCATGACGTCAGTGGGTGACGTCAGTGGGTGACGTCACTGGATGACGTCACTGCGAATAATAGGCTTAGAGGTAGTATTCAAAGTTGCGAACTAAGTACCTATTATAAATATATATTCACTTTGCGTTTTGCACTCGGACCAAGAAGTCTAAAGTTCATCACGACGAGCATGGACGTGTCTGGAATGTGGGCCGTCGACAGTGGTGCAACGCACCACATTTGCCACGACAAGACCAAGTTCGCAAGTTTGGCAGAGCGCAATGAGGGCGAACTCTTGGTGGCTGATGGCAACAAGGTGGCCATCAAGGGTGTGGGAACCATAATGGAAAAGGTGGTTCTGCCCAACGGTGAAGAGCGTGAGATCGAAATCAAGAACGCGCTATATGTTCCAAGTATGAGCAAGAACCTGCTCTCGGTGCCACAGATTAACAGCCATGGCAAGTTTCAAGTCGTGTTTGACGGGTCCAAGATGTATGTGACTCTCAAGAACTCACAGCAAGTGGTGGCGACAGCGGATCTCGTGGATGGACTCTACTGGCTTCGGACGACTCAACGATCAGCGAATGTGACAACAAGTGGAACCAGTTGTGCCGATCTACATGCGAGAATGGGTCATGCTCCAGTCGATGTACTTCGCAAGATGATCGCGACCAACATGATCAAGGATGTGCGAGTCCCTCTCAAGTCGGGTGGAGCAACTACATGTCGAGGATGTCAACAAGGGAAAATGGTCCAAAAACCATTTCCAAGCAACCGAGACAAGCGCAGCTACGATACGTTTGAGCTACTTCATCTGGACATCTGCGGGCCCATGGAAAAGGATTCGCTCGGTGGCAGCAAATATTTGCTGCTGATCATCGACGAAGCCAGTGGATGCATGAAGGGCTTTTGTCTACGAGTGAAGTCCGAGAGTGAAGACTACATCCGGAAATATATCACCATGGTACAGACGCAATTCTGTAAGAAGGTCAAGTTCGTGCGACACGACGGAGCTCGCGAGTTTGCAACCAACTCGCTTCAACTGTTCTACGAAGACGAAGGCATTGAACAGCAGACAACGGTGCCGTATGCACATCAAACAAACGGAACAGCAGAGCGTGCCATTAGGACTATTGTCACGATCGGCCGCAGCATGCTTCATCATGCCAAACTGGACAAGTGTTTCTGGGCCGAAGCAGCGATGACGGCCATCTACGTCAAGAATCGACTGCCGTCACCTAAAGTCGTGCACAAGACCCCGTTTGAGATCGTCTACAACTTGAAACCAAGCGTCAAGCACATGCGAACATTCGGGTGTCAGACATACATACTGACGCCTAAAGAGAATCGACTCAAGTG